GCTCTGTCCCTGCCTAGGGGACAGACACTGAGATCTGAGAGCAGGGCCATGTGGCGGTGCCCTGGGGGACCCCAGAGCTTTGTTTACACAGGACAGTGTCCCAGGGCCCAGATGCTCCTCACCCCAGCAGCTGCTGTCTGGACAAAGTCCCCCAGAGAGGCTGCCTCGACTCTGCCCTGTCCCCAAATCCTGCGTCCATCCAATGCTAGAAGTGGGCTCCAAGGTTTCTATTTGGGCGTATAAATGTTTTTGAAGTAAATAATGTTAGAGGGAACGGGTCTTGTAGTTCAGAGGGCTAAGCCTCCTCCTTTGCTGCCAGCATCCCATAATGGAGCATCAGAGTTCTGGATGCTGCACTTCCAGCTCCTACTAATGGGCTTGGGAAAGCATCAGAAGATGGCCATGTCACCTCACATGAGATACCTGGATATAGCTCCTGACTTTAGGTTGTTGTCCTGGCCCAGACCTGGCCTTTGCAGAAATGTGGGGAATAAATCAGCAGATGGAAGATCTCTGTCTTTGTATTTCAAATAGATAAAGGGATAAACTTAAAAAAATATATATATATATGTATTTTTTATTTTTAAAGATTTATTTTATTTTTATTGGAAAGGCGAATATACAGAGAGGAGAGACAGAGAGGGAGATCTTCCGTCCGATGATTCACTCCCCAAGTGAGCGCAATGGTCGATGCTATGCCGATCCGAAGCCAGGAGCCTCTTCCAGGTCTCCCGCGCGGGTGCAGGGTCCCAAAGCTTTGGGCCGTCCTCGACTGCTTTCCCAGGCCACAAGCGGGGAGCTGGAAGGGAAGCGGGGCTGCCGGGATAGAACCGGCGCCCATATAGGATCCCGGGCGTGCAAGGCGAAGACCTTAACCACTTGCGCCACCGCGCCGGGCCCAAAAATATATTTTTAAAAAGATTTATTTATTTATTGGGCCTGGTACAGTAGCTTAACAGCTAAAGTCCTCGCCTTGAAAGTGCAAGGATCCCATAAAGGCACTGGTTCTAATGGCAGCCCTGCTTCCCATCCAGCTCCCTGCTTGTGGCCTGGGAAAGCAATCGAGGATAGCCCAAAGCCTTGGGACCCTGTACCCACGTGGGAGACCAGGAATGGATCCTGGCTCCTGGCTTTGGATCAGCTCAGCTCCAATCGTTGCAGCCACTAGGGGAGTGAATCAGTGGACGGAAGACCTTCCTCTGTCTCTCCTCCTCTGTATATCTAACTTTATGATAATTAAAAAACATTTTTTTAATATTTATTTATTATTTGAAGGGCAGACTTACAGAAAGAATAAAGAAAAAAAAATTCCACCCACTTGTTCACTCCCCAAATTGCTGCAGTGAGTGGAGCTGAGCTGATCCAAAGCCACGAACTTGTTACAGGACTTTCATATGGGTGCAGAGGCCTAAGCACATGGGCCATTCTCCGTTGCTTTCCCATGCCATTGGAATGGAAGTGGATCAGAAGTGGAGCAGATGGGGCACAAAATGGCATACACAAGGTTTGCCAGTCCTTGCAGGTAGAGGATTAACCCGTTGAACCACCATGCCAGCCCCAAGAAAAGATTTTTTTTTAATATTTATTTATTTGAAAGGTAGATTTTTCAGAGCAAGGTCTTCCATTTGCTGGTTCACCCCCCAAATGGGCACAATAACTGGAGCGGGGCCAATCCAAAGTCAGAAGTGAGGAATTTCTTCCAATTCTCCCATGCAGGTGCAGGGTCCCAAGGTTTTGGGCCATCTTCGACTGATTTCCCAGACTACAAGCAGGGAATTGGATGGAAATTGGAGCATCTGGAACACAAACCAGTAACGTGGGATGCTTGTGCCTGGAGGTGGAGTACCAGCCTGGTGAGCCACTGTGTGAGCCCCAAAAGAAATGATAGTTAAGAAAAAGACGACAGTCATGGAGGTCAAATACCATCAAGTGTGTGAAACTCTTGTAAAGCATTCTAAAATTGTTATTAATTTGTATTATCTACTTCCTCCTCAACAAAAACAAACAAAACAAACAAACAAAAACACACAGACAATTGCTGGACTACCAGGTTTTCATTGTTGTTTTCCCTGAAGATGCTTAAGATTCCACTTTAAGGAATGCTTGGATGGCTGTTCAGTGGAAAGTTCCAGAAATGAGGAAGGGCAGAGGGCAAACTAAAGCAGCAGCTCAGACCCTGGTTCCCTACCATGTGTGAGACACTGGCCGCCCAACGGGGGCGGCTCCCAGGAGCTCCAGCACAGAGCCTGGGGAGGCAATGTGGCTGGGCCCCATCCTCGTCTGTACCCCCCCACCTCTCCTTTCAAACCTTAGGTCGCCTTTCCCATATCTCTCCTGGGAGCTTTATTTCTGTCCCTTTTCTCTTCTACAGCTGAGGAAATGAATCATCTCTCAGCCTGTTGTAAACAGCCCTGTGCCCTTGACCACAGCAGGGTCTCTCCAGGCGACCTCCGTGGCTCCCTTCAGGAGTTAAGTTCCTGCCCGCTGCTCTGGGCCTGGTGGCTCCACCTGCTGCAGCCAGGAGGTGATGTAAAAGGACACACACATGGCCTTCCATATAACAACTGTCATCTCTCCCTGCCCACCTGCACCCAAGCTGATTAGAGGGTCTGGGGAATTAGGGGACCGCAGGGTTTCCTGTGCCATCTTAATGGCCCTGCTAGGAGGAACTCAAAATCCTCATTATACGGACGGGAAGTCCAAGACTCAGAGAGGTGTGGGAGTTTGTTGAAGGACAAAGAGCAAGAAGGTGACAGCCAGCCTTCACACGCTGAAGCTGTGGATTTGTTGTAGTATGTTCGACATGAAAACATGACAGCAAACTCATTTCTGTCTCATACGAAAGAATTTTCACGTGAACAAGATTTATTTGAAGAGAAAACTTTTTAAAATTTATTTTACTTTGTATTGTAAAGTCAGATTTTTTTTAAAGATTTATTTTTATTATTTTTTCATTGGAAAGGCGGATATACAGAGAGGAGAGACAGAGAGGAAGATCTTCCGTCCGATGATTCACTCCCCAAGTGAGCGCAACGGGCCAATACTATGCCGATCCGAAGCCAGGAGCCTCTTCTGGGTCTCCCGCGTGGGTGCAGGTTCCCAAAGCCTTGGGCCGTCCTCTGCTGCTTTCCCAGGCCACAGGCAGGGAGCTGGAAGGGAAGCGGGGCTGCCGGGATTAGAACCGGCGCCCATATGGGATCCCGGGCGTGCAAGGCAAGGACCTTTAACCACTTGCGCCACCCTGCCGGGCCCAGTAAAGTCAGATTTTTAAAAAAGATTTATTTTTATTAGAAAGTCAGATATACAGAAAGGAGGAGAGACAGAGAGAAAGGTCTTCCGTCCATTGATTCACTCCCCAAGTGGCTGCAACAGCTGAAGCTGCGCCGATACCAAGCCAAAAGCCAGGAACTTCTTCCAGGTCTCCCACATGAGTGCAGGGTCCCAAGGCTTTGGGCTGTCCTCAATTGCCTTCCCAGGCCACAAGCAGGGAGCTGGATGGGATGTGGGGCTATTGGAATAGGGATCTTGGTGTGTGCAAGGCAAGGACTTTAGCCACTAGGCTACTGTGCTGGGCCTGGGAGTTAGTACCTTTCACACCTCATCTCAAACAAATTTCTCTAAGAACTAAGGAAATAATTTATTCTCAATAGCACTTGGCTCTGAGACAAAAGGGTCTCAGAAGGGTGGGATTGGTTAACTTCCTCATTCTGCTTCTAATGATATACTGATCTCTCAGGCACTATCTCCTTGGCGGTGGCCAGGAGGTGAGATTCGGTGGGTTGCTTCTAGTTGTTGATGTTAATTCTGCCCCTGTATGCTTTGAGGCAGGTGGGTGTCCTTGGGAGAAATGTGCTCTGGGGAAATCAAGATATGGAGGAGAAAATACAATTATATGTATGTAATTATATGTATTACAATTTTATATATATTTTAAAAGATTTATCTATTTTTTATTACAAAGTTAGATATATGAGAGAGTAGGAGAGACAAAGAGGAAGATCTTCCGTCCGATGATTCACTCCCCAAGTGACCGCAATAGCTAGCACTGTGCCAATCCAAAGGCAGGAGCCAGGAACCTCCTCCAGGTCTCCCGCGTGGGTGCAGGGTCCCAAAGCCTTGGGCCGTCCTCTGCTGCTTTCCCAGGTCACAAGCAGGGAGCTGGATGGGAAGTGGAGCAGCTGGGCTATGAACCCGCACCCATATATGATCCCGGCGAATGCAAAGCATGGATTTTAGCAGCTAGGCTACCATGTTGGGCCTAATAGACCAATACATATTTGGGGGGGAAAAAAGGGCACACCTCCTGTTGGCCACTGTCTGAGGTTCAAAGGAACGCTGGGGAAGCCACACTTCCTGGGGACTCAACTAGGCAGCCATTTACCGGATAGTGCAGGGGTTGTTTATAGAAGCCCAAACTACTGACCTCAGACGCCGGTGTGACCTGCAGTGCGTTTGAGGGCAGGGAGTGTAACTGATAGAGATTTCTGCAAACTATGATGTAACGCAGAGGGTTCTCTGCACAGTTGGCAGTGCTAAGGAGGTCAGCGAGGCTGGAGGGCTTCCCGAGGACGGGGCTGCGCATCCACAGCTCTAAGCAGACGGAAGCTCCTGTGTCAGTAGTGCGCGTTAGCAGAAGTGAGATTCCGTCCACTGTTCCAAGGAGCCATGAGAGAAGCAGACATATTCCCTTTATTCCTTATTTTTCTGGAGGGGGAACAAAGGCTCAGGAAGGCTGTTTAGATTGTTAGCAGTCTCGCTTCCAGCAAGTGGCTCAACAGGCTTGGACCTCCGGACCCCAAGCCGAGTGCTGCGGGGGCTGGTGCCTCCCGGGCGACCCCGGAACTCCCGGGCTGGTCGCGCCGTGGGCGGGGCGGCGGGGGGCGGGCCCAGCGGCCGGGCAGGGTGCGCTCCACCTGCGGTGCGCAGCACGCTGGCCATGGGCGGCCGCGGGCCGGGGGACCGCCAGGCTGGGTCCCGCTGACCGCCGGGCGGGCCATGGGCGACCGCGAGCGCAACAAGAAGCGGCTGCTGGAGCTGCTGCAGTCTGCGGGCACCGGCAACGCGCACTGTGCTGACTGCGGGGCAGCAGGTAAGCACCCCTCAGGCTCACGCCCCAGCGCCAGCTGGACCCGGCGTGACCCTAACACCCAGGCTGTGAATTTCCCAGGGCCCTCGACAGCCCTCCGCGTGTCCGACACGGACATACCACCCACCCGGACTTGGATCCCTGGCTCCCTACTCTGGGCAGGATTCGGATCTGTCCTCGAACCTGGACCCTAACCCTACATCCTGGACACTGGAATCAAGCCTGTCCCAGCCGGCATCCCCCACCCACACACACTCTCCTCTACACCCCTCTGCCCAGCGCGCCCATGATCTGGGTTCTCCAAGTCTTGCCCAGAACCAGGTGCTCCCCTCCTGCCCTCGGACTCGGACCTCCTAGCACGCCACGGGACCCCAGGCTGTCCTGTGCCCCCTTCCCCAGCCCGGGAGTTCTCCTCATTGCCCCTATCCACGCGCCCGAGCCCATGGATGCCAGGCACCCGGAGCCAGACTTTCCCGCCTGCAGGTGCTTGGTTCCCACTGAGTCCCGTAATTTGACCTTGGCACTCACCTTAGCTTCTCACCCCCAACCCAGGCACTCCCTCCAGGATCCTTCTTCCCCGCCCCCCCTTCCCCCGCTTGCCTGCCTTTCCTGAGGTCTGGGCTGACCAGAGGGTTCTTGCTGGTAACTTCATTGGCCCCGTGCGGGGTGACCAGCCAGGAGAGAAGGAGTTGGGCTGGCACTGTTTGAGCTCACTCAGCTGCCCTGCTCCCTTCCATAGATCCCGACTGGGCCTCTTACAAGCTGGGGATCTTCATCTGCCTGAACTGCTCCGGCGTCCACCGCAATTTCCCCGACATCAGCAGAGTTAAATCCGTGCGACTTGACTTCTGGGACGACAGCATCGTGGAGGTAGTTAGGGAAGAGGCAGGGTCGGGTGTGCCATTTCTACAAGGCTGGGGCAAGGGCGATGGCCAGCAAGTAACCTGTTAGACTGGCAGCTTAAACCTGGACTCAAATCCTGACTCTCTGGCTTGCTTCCCTAGGAGCCCTAAGGCCCTGAGGTGATTACTTCATCCTAACTTTTGCACCTGTTTTTTGGGGGTCACTGCCACTCCTGCACAGGGCTGCTGTTGGCTCAGTCCTAGCACAAAGCAAATAGACACTTAATCATTGCTGCTACTATTCGTGGAATTTCTGGACTGGGGCAGAGGAAGTCCCTTAATGGGTGGTCAGTGGCTCTCCCTCTCCAGCCAGAAAGAGGGTCCCTGGACTCTCCTGACCCCTGGAGATACAGGGCACCCCCTCCCAGCCCCCAAGCCTGGTGGTCACACTTTCTGGGCCAGAAAACCTTCCAGGAGCAGGCAATTCTAAATTGCTGGTTGGCTGGGGGTGTCAAAGACTTTGGTGGAAGCAGCTGCCGACTCTGCCAAGTTCTCTGGGCTGCAAGGGGTTGATTCCTGCTGGTCCACTGTTCCCTAGGAGCTGGGAGAGAACCAGCGAGCCAGAGCAGGTTCCTGCCCGCCCAAAGCCCACGTCCTGGTTTGGAAGACAGTCAAGAATCCAGCAGCATGGCACAGCAAGCTGAGGCCTTGGGTGTGCCTTGTCAGATTTTGCTCCCTTTGACAGGTGCATTCCCAAGGGTAACTCAGCAAGTGGATGGCAGAGCTGGGATCTGAACCCTGCTGCCCTGGGATCCAGGGCTAGAACCATCTCCTACAGATTTTCCAGGTGACCAGGAGGCCTGGCTGGATGTGCAGGGCATTGGAGCCAGAAATCAACCAGGACTGAGTTCAAATCCCAGCTTTCCACTGGCAACATGCTGTGTTGCCTTGGGCCATTCTCCTGTCCTCTCTGAGCTTTGCTTTCTTACAGTGCTATGAACATGGCTGGGAGGGGAATAGCTGTGGGGGCCTGTACCTGTGGGAGGCAAAGGGTCCTGGGCCCTCACTGCTCCAGGCTGGGCTTCCTGGTGTGGGCCAAGCCTGCTGGGTCGGCTCCTGCTTTGGGCTGGTTCCTTCCTCCCAGCCTAGGAGCTGGTAGGACCCGCAGCCTTCTGGGAAGATCGTGGTTTCATTTCATGTTTTTTTTTTTTTTTCAAGTTCTAATATTACCCCTGAGTTGCTGCTGTCTTGCAGTTTATGACCCACAACGGAAACCTCCGAGTGAAGGCCAAGTTCGAAGCCAGAGTTCCAGCTTTCTATTACATCCCCCAAGCCAGTGACTGCCTGTGAGTGGGTGACTCCTGAGGGAGTCTGGTGAGGGTCTCCGGGTCTCCTCACCCCTTTACCAAGCCCCTTGGTCTGTGGTGTTCTGTTCTATGGGCCCAGCAGCAGGTAGATCCAGGAGCACTTTGGGGGCCATCGTGGAGTGCATGTAGGCGATCTGGCTCAAGCCCCTCTCTCTGTTTCTGTCGCTTGTGTCTCTTCCCTTCTCTGAGCCTCGGTTCCTACTGTGAAGTGGGGGTTTTCTCTATGATCCATCCCTCTGCTTGCAGCTTACAGGTGGTGGCTAGCCATATGGCCATGGGGGGTTGCTGCTGCTTCAGCTGCTTCCTGTCGGTGTTATGTTTATGCACCTATGCCAGGTCTCTCATGCCCTCCAATGACATGCCTGGGCTGCAGATCCCTACCTAGTAACGGTGACAGTGACAGCGGCTGCTGATACCTGTCAGGCTTGCCCTGTGCACCAGGCTCTGGGCTAAGGGCCATGTGCATTCCTGTGCTGAGTTCTCTCTTAGGACAAGCACTACTGTTATCCTTATGAAACAGATGTAAGACCTGAGGCTGTCAGGAGCAGAACCAGGGCTGGCTTCTTCTGGCCCTTGCAACACCAGGGTCTGGGTGCTGGTATCATGGCACTGGAGCAGTCCTGGAGAGTGGCGGCTGTGAAGCCACAGGAGGGGTCAGGTCTGCTGGAGCTGAGGGATCAGTGTGACACAGGTGCTTGTGGGTCCCGGGTCTCTGTGGGCCTGACTGCCTAGGCCTGACCCTCCTTCCAGGCACCCAGCCTCATCACCAGGGAACCTTTCTGCGGCTTGTGACCCTGCATCTTCCTGTCAGGCAGGTGGCCTCCCTGATCAGGCAGCAAGGTCACTGCAATGCCAAGTGACATTGGATATTCATGGCATCACTCGTAGCTTAACACAAAATTGTCAGCTTAACAGTGAATTTGCTACAGATGTATTACATTTTTAAAAAGATATATATACATATATTATTTTGAATTTTTGAATTATGTGTTGCAATTTTATATAGACTGGGATTTCCCCGTATCCCTCACCCCCTGACAGATTTTCCCCATTTTACTACAGTGGTATAATCCTTCATAAGGAATTATAATTGCATCAGTCTCTTATTTAAGTGTACCCCAACATTGCTGGTACAAAGTCAGACAGTCCAGCATCCCATTGTCTACACTTGTCCAATAGTTTTATTGGGAATCCATCTTTCATCTGGAAGCAGGGATGCATGTTGCATTATACCTCATATCTGGATATGGTAGACCCCAGTAATCCATCATTACAGATGGATTAAATTTCAAGTCCTGCCCTGGAGTTGCCTCCACAAGGCCAAACCAAAAGATTGCACAAGCCTTGTGAAACCCATCAGCCTGGACACTCTTCACCTCTGCAAGGCCTAGACATCTGTGTGGGGCTTGGAGGGGTTGGGGTGAAAGCCAACTCAAGGTACATTCCAGCTATGTGGCCTTGGTGGGCACCTTTGGGTAACAAGACAAATTGCACAACTTTCCTGGCTGGCCCTGCAGTCCCTCAGCACTGAGACCAGTCCAGGGATGCTGGCGCTGTGTGGAGGGGCAGGGGAAACACAGCTGTTGCTCACACATCCCTTCCCTGCTCCTCCCTTGCCCCTCCCACCACTGCCCCACTATGAGAAGAAGGACCTCTGTGATTACTGCGCACCCCGGTCTTGGACAGTGATGCTGGGGTTGTAGTATGGTGCTAAGCATTAAGTGAGATAATCCACATAAATTCCCTCCCTACCCTGCCTGGTTTGGATCCACTTCTTTCTGTCCATTGTGGATGGTGGCCTGGTCCCCAGCCCAGCCAAGGGATGTGCCTAAAGAGGAACCCACTCTGCTCTTCACCTCCCTGTTGACACATGTCCCTCTGCTCCAGTGGCTGGCTGAGCACCCAGGCTTTCTGTCTGTGGTGCTTGCTTTCTGCCCGCTCCACATGGATGTTCCTTGGCATGACTCCTGCCATAAGCTTGCACTTTAGCCCTCTGCCTGGGATCTGCAGCTCCTGTAAGTCCCCTTCTTCCAGGGTTACTGGCTGTGGCTGTCTAGGCTGTGGGCCAGGGTTCCTTCCCTGTGGCTGGCTTGGGACTCTCTTCCATGTTCTGGGTTTGCAGACTGTTCGTTGGGAAGGAATCTTGACTGCAAAGGACAGAAGCCTAATTCAAAGCAGCTTTCACCAAAGAGAGTTTCAGGGGTTGGTGCTTGCACCTAAAGAGGGTCATCCCAGGTTGGTGCTGCCCTAAGGAGGACCCAGCAAGGGACTCAGCCAGGGTCATGTCTGTCACACTCTCTGTGGCTTGCGAGCCTGCATCTTCCTGTCAGGCAGGTGGCCTCTCCGTTCAGGCAACAAGGTCACTGCAGATGCCAGACTGCTTTCCTTGCCCACTACCCCAGAGAGGATTTCCAGCCAGTCTCTCCTCTAGCTTTGGTGCTTTGGAGCCATGCAGCCCTGAGCAGCCTGGGCTCTAGGTCATTTCTATGGCCAGGAGGTGAGGTCCCATGCACCTTGTAACAACTTCCCTGGCAAAGATGACAGGGACTCATACAGGTAGAATTATCCCACTCCCAGTGGCATGGTTTCCCTGTAGTAGTCGGGGATGACAGTGTCTTGTTGAGATAGCATCAAACATGGTGCTGCCAGCCAGGGTGATCACTCAGCAGCCCTCAGGGCATTCAGGGATCACCCAAGTGCAGAGGTGTTAAGTGCAGTGGTCCTTGACACACAATGGGTACTTGATAGAGTGAGACCAGGTGCAGGTGACTAGATCCCCCCAAAACCACAGCTCTGCCCAGGGCAGCCTGCCCAGAGTTCATGGGCAGGCCGCAGCAGGAGGCCCTTGAGCGCTCTGACTTCCACTCATGTCCGTGCAGTGGGAAGGGCAGTATGGAGAGCCAGGGTAGTCGGCACCAATTGCTCTAGAGAGTTGAGGCTGGCCGGGCTGCAGTAGTGCAGTGGTTCTCCCACAGGATGTGGGGAAGAAATAGCTTCTCATGTCAGAGAGATGCCTGAAGACACCTTTGGATATCACCACTGGGGTGCATAGAGGCCAGAGATACTGCTGAGCATTCTATAAAGCACAGGAGAGCTCCCTCCCACAGAATATTTGTTTAGCATCAAATAGTCATAAGCACCAAAGCTGAGAAACCCTAGGGTAGCCTGAGCAGGCCATGGTATTTCCCCTCTGTCCTGCTCAGCCACAGACCTTGGCAAGTTCATATGGGAAGAGAACACTTCAGACACAGCTAACCAGAAGCTCTCCATTTTTAGAGTCTTAAAGGAGCAATGGATTCGAGCAAAATACGAGAGACAGGAATTTATGGCTGATGGGAAAATCATCTCCCTGCCAGGTAAAGCCGTTTTCATTGTTCTTGGAGAGCTGTGTTTTAACAAGATGCAGAAAACAGAAGTGCCTGGGTGTTGGGAGTTGATCCCTTTGAGAGATGATACCTGCTACCCTCACTACAGCCTTTGGAACAGCGACCCAGGAGCAGGTGGGGTTCTGGGGTCATGGACTGGAGGAACATATTAGTCTGAGGTTCCTGCAGAGTTGCAGTAGTGTGCATTCTTAGGAGGGACTATAGAGAGCTACTGTCACCGGGGGAAGAGGAGTCCAGCTAGGGAGAGGCACCCCTACTCCTGGCTTTCATGGTCCTCAGTGCAAGCAGAGGCGGACTGCCATGGTGTGTATGTGTAGGTGAATCAGCAGGTTGTAGGGGAGCAAGTGTTCATTCACTGAGCTGAGGCTGTCCCTGACCCAAAGGGACGCAGAGCACCACGGGCAGTCCATGCTCATGTCTTCTGGCTACTAGGCATGCCAGTATTCCTGTAGTCAGCAGGTCACACATTGTTGTCAGTGTCATGGGTCTGATGTTAGACTAAAGGGTTAGTTGGTCCAACTTCTTACAACTTGGAGTTCTTATACATTAGCTGGATCTTCTTTTAAAACTTTTTCTTGATTTACTTTGATTTTGTTTGAAAGATAGAAGAATAGAGACAGAGAGATCTTCCATCCTCTCATTCATTCCCCCAAATGCCTGCCACAGCTGGGGCTGGGCCAGCAGAGGCAGGAACTTAGCTCTCATGTCTGGCCTCCCACCTGGCTGAGCATGACCCAAGGACTGAAGCCATCATCTGTCATCTACCTGTGCAGGAGGCTGGAATGGAGATGGAGGAGCTGAGTCTCCAGCCAGGCTCTCCTATGTGCAGCATCTTAGCAGCTGTACCAAACGTCTGCTCCTGGTGACAGAATCCTAGCCCTGGGGCACTTGTGGCCCCAGCCGTCTGCTCAGTGCATAGCCTGACCCCAGGCAGAACCAGGCAGGGAAAGGTCTGCATAGGGAGAGGTCTACATTAGTGCTGGCCCCTGGGGATGGGGTCCCTGAGGCAGCTGCAGTGGTGAAGTCAGCCTGGAGTAAGTCGCAGAGGGGAGCACTCAGGCCATACCTGAGAGCCTGCTCGGGGTGTGAGCTGCCTGTGCAGCCCCCAGGGGTAGGGTGTTCACCTGTCTCCTTCTTGGTGGTTAAGGCAATCGCGAGGGCGTCCTGTGGAAGCGAGGGAGGGACAACGCTCAGTTCCTGAAGAGGAGGTTTGTGCTTCTGGCAAGAGAAGGCCTACTGAAGTACTACACCAAGGAGGAGGTAAGAGGCGGGGCCGTGGCTGCAGCGGCTCACCCCCCAACTCAGCGCGTTAACCAGTCCTGCGGCTGAGGTCAGCCCCTGAGAATAAGCACAGCACTCCGTCACTTGTGCTTGTTCATGCGGTCAGTCCAGGCCAGCAAAAACCATACTGTTCACCTGGAATCAGTGTTCACTGGCCCATGCCTGAGCCTTTGACAGCTGCTCAATCTTACATCTTTCGTTTATCAACTTAAGAAGCATTTATTGAGTGCTTATTGTATGCTACTCGGGACTCCAGTTAACTGAACAAAGCTTTTGTTCTCAGGGAGTGGAGGGAGATAGGTGCAGTGTCCCCGAGTAATCCCGTGGAGCAGGAGGAAAGGCTGGGGTATAGCAGAAAGGATCATGGGGGACAGCAACCCCCTCCAACTTGGAGCGTTTGCATTTGCTGGACTCCAGGTCTCCTTGAGTGCAGGGGCCCAAGGGCTTGGACTATCCTCCACTGCTTTCCCAGGCCATTAGCAGGGAACTCTATTGAAAGTAGAGTAGCCAGGACTTGAACCAGTGCCCATATGGGATACCAGCAGGGGTAGAAGTGGAGATGTGAGTTAGGAAGTTACTGCATAACCCGTGGTAGAAATAATTGAGTGTTAGACTGGGATGGTGGTGGGGGAGCTGGGTGGGAGTGGTCAGAATCTGAGTGTGTTTTAGAAGTAGAGCGAATATGCATTACTGAAGGGTTGGATATAGGTGCAAGAGCAAGACAAATCAAGGCTGACTGCTCAGATGTTTGCCCTACAACACTGTAAGGATGGATTCAGCATTTGCTGCCATCCCTGCACGGGAAGGAATGTCAGAGTTCACAGAGAGTGAACTGTGTGAGAAAAACAAGCCATGGGTTTCTGAAAAGTTTTGCACCAACACGGTCTATTAATTCGACTTTGCCATAAACTCTCTGAATTATTCTCCTGAGTCTGCAGGGTCCAGAACTGCAGTCATTAGCTGTGGATGGCTACTGAGTGCTTGGAATGGATTCAATGCAACTATGGAACAGGATTTTCAACATTTATTTATTTACTTTTTAGATTTATTTATTTTTATTGCATAGTTAGATATATATAGAGAGAGGAAGAGAGACAGAGAGGAAGATCTTCCTTCCGATGATTCACTCCCCAAGTGGCCGCAATTGCCAGAGCTGAGCCGATCCGAAACCAGGAGCCAGGAGCTTCTTCTGGGACTCCCACACGAGTGCAGGGTCCCAAGGCTTTGGGCCATTCTCTCCTGCTTTCCCAGGCCACAGCAGAGAGCTGACTGAGTCAAGGCCTTTCCAAACCCCTCTGAGCTCAGAGAGACCAGCCTGACGAGGCAGGACCCCTATGGTAACTGCACACAGGACTCGGGGAGATCTGTGTGCTGTGATGTCATGGCAGGGACATTTCAAGACCACACCCCGGTAGGGCAGGGACAGCAGGTAAATGCCCCTCAGACCGCCTACATCTGGTATCTAGTGCCTGGGTTCAGGCTCCAACTTCTTGCCGACATGCACCCTGGGAGGCCACAGGTGGTGGTGGACCAAATGCTGGGATCCCTGTCGCCCACTCCAAAGACCCGAAGAGAATTCCTAGCTCCAGGGTTCAGTCTGGCCCTGCCCTCAGTGGGTATCTGGGGAGTGAACCACTAGATGGGAGAGCTCTGTCTGTCTTCTTTACTTTTCAAATAAGTAAAAGTAAATAAATAAGTTAAAAAAAAAAGGCCCATACAAGGTTACAACAAGGTTATCAGGGTCAAGGTCTATGTGAGGGTGACCAGAGGTCGCCGTCTGCATCCTGAGCTTCCTCTTTCTCTCTCTCGCTTTCAGGGGAAGAACCCCAAAGCTGTCATCAGCATCAAGGATTTGAACGCCACCTTCCAGACGGAGAAGATAGGGCATCCTCATGGGCTGCAGATCACCTACCAGAAAGACGGCCACACCAGGAACCTGTTTGTGTATCATGAGAGTGGGAAAGTGAGTTGACCACGACTCTGCCCACCCCCAGCCCAATGGCCTAGGGACCCCGCAGGCTCGGCTTCTCTGTGACAGGCATGAGAAAGTTGGAATGCAATGGGGAGAGGGGTTGATGTAGGGGTGTGGCATGGACACAGTGTGCAGCCCCCACGGGCATTGGGTTCATGCCCAGGGATGGCCCATCCATGTGAGGCCGCAGATTCTCACTGTGGGAGGAGGAATCTGGATGGGGTCTCGCCTTGTTGCCTCCCAGCCATCCTAGACCCATAGCACCAGTGGCACCTGGGGACTGGTTAGAAGCCGAGGTTCTGGCCCACCCAGATCCATCATGTTAGAAAACTGCATTTTAGCAGGGCCCCTGAGAAATCCAGATATGCGTGAGAGTTAATGGTCCCAGGACCCAGGCCAGCCTGAGGGGGCCCAAGAGAATCAGCAAGAGTGGAGCACATGCAGGCTCAGGCACCTGGCGGGAAGAGGGACAGAGATGCTAAGTGGGGTGGTGTGGAGCTGGGGCTGGTCTTTGAGAGTGTCTATGAACCGTGCTGGATACTGTCCTTAGGGACTGCTCCACCATGTTTCTGAATTGTCAAAACGGCCACCTGTTCTGGAGGCTTGGTCATGTTGAGTCATGCAGCCCATGGGTCCTGAGCCCTACCCATGGGAGCTGGGGAGCTGAGTTTCCCAGTAGGCTCCATGCCAGTCTGCATGGAGGGGCTGCAGTTGGAGATGGAGTCCGGGACGCTGCCGGTCTCAGAAAGCCCCTTCCATCCTGTGTCTCTGGATTCTTCTTCTTCTTCTTCTTCTTTTTTTTTTTTTTTAAGATCTGCTTTATTTTTATTGGAAAGTCAGATTTACAGAGAGGAGAGATAGAGAGAAAGATCTTCCATCTGCTGATTCACTCCCCAAGTGGCTGCAATAGCTAGAGCTGAGCTTATCTCAAGCCAGGAATCAGGAGATTCTTCCTGGTCTCCCATGTGGGTGCAAGGTACCAAGATTCCAGGCTATTCTCCACTGTTTTCCCAGCCACAAGCAGGGAGCTGAATGGGAAGAGAAGCAGCCAGGATACAAACGTGCCCATAAGGAATGCCAATGCATGTAAGGCAAGGACTATAGCCACTAGGCTAATGCGCCGGGCCCGGTCTCTGGATTCTAACTCCCACTGCTCAGAAGGGTTCTGAGGGTAGAACAACCATGATTCACCAACTTGAGCACACTTTAGTCACTGTCGTTATTACTGGCTCCTGGTGGTGACAGAAAAGGAAAGTCCTGTTGTTACCTTCACACCCCATCTTCTTTCATGTATGCCCTAGCTCTCCTAATGAATTCTTGTTGAGCAAGCCCAGCAGTGTGCAAAGCACTGGGTCAGTCAGGTTCTAGGGTGTCCGGGAGTAGATGACACAGCTGTGGGCCTCAAAGGATTCACAGTGTAGGAAAGATAGGAGGCAGGCATTCAGGGTGCAGTGTGATGGAGGGAGGACATACTGGGACACAGAGAAGACGTGGAAGCACCCTACTGGGTGTGGAGGTGGGCTCAGGGCATCGTTCCAGAGGGAGGGGTTGCTGCTGAGGACGTGCTGTAATAGCACTTGAAGGGCAAGAGGTGTGACTGGGCTCCTCAGAGATTAGAATTGGGAGCTCAAAGAGGAAGATACGGAAGAGGCGATACAGGGAGAGAGCAAGTGCATGCTTTCCTTCTATCAGACACACAGGTTTTGTAACTCCGAGGGTCAAGTGATGTGACACTTCTTTGTTCCTCTATGTTAAACGACTCTGACCACAATTAGCAAGAAATTCAGTCAGAGTCAACCTGATCCATTCCCTCTGTGCATTTCACCAGATTCTTAGGACGCATGCTGTCTGGGAGATGTGGCTGGGTCCCTGACTCTTAGTGCAGTTCAGATTGGCATGGCCCTTCCATGGCACTCAGTACCATGACGACCCAGGCCCTCCTAACACCAGGTTGCCTCCCTTGTGCCCCTCTGTTGTGCCTCTGACAGCATGGGGCTGGTCTTTCCATTTCACTTTGTGTCCAGCTTCTCTGTTAGATGGGCCTGAGTGGGGATTGTAATTCATACTTTCAGGAACTAAGTAGGTCATTTAAAAATGGACAGGAGGTGCTGGTGTTGTGCACAGCCAGTTAAGCTGCCTCTTGTGGCACTGGTACCTTCAAATTCTGGCTGCTCGCTCTTTTTATTCCTTCCTTCCTTCCTACCTTCCTTCCTTCCATCCTTCCATTCTTCCATCCTTCCTTCCTTCCTTCCTTCCTTTCTCTTTCTCTTTCTTTCCCTCCCTCTCTCCCTCCCTCCCTCCCACTCTTCCTTCATTCCATCCTCCTTTTTTCTATTTCTTTTCTTCCTTCCTTCTTTCTTTCTCTGCCTTTATCCTTCTTTCCTTTCTTCTTTCCTTAGTTCCATTTTAAAAATATTTAATGAATCCGGCACAGTGACCTAGCAGCTTAAAGTCCTTGCCTTGAACACGCCCAGGATCCCATATGGGCACTGGTTCTAATCCCTGCAGCCCACGTCTCATCCAGCTCCCTGCTTGTGACCTGGGAAAGCAGTCAAGGATGGTCCAGGGCTGTGGGAGACCCGGAAGAGGATCCCTGGCTCCTGGCTTCAGATTGGCTCAGCACCAACCATTGCGGTCGCTTGGGGAGTGAATCATTGAATGGAAGATCTTCCTCTCTGTCTCTCCTCCTCTCTGTATATCTGACTTTCCGATAAAAATAAATAAATTAAAAAATATTTACTTATATATTTGAAATGCATAGTTATAGAGAGAAAGATCTTCTACTCATTGTCCACTCTCCCAAATAATCTGACAGCTAGAACTGGGCCCAGCGAAGGCCAGAGGCCAAGAGCTTCTTCTGAGCCTCCCAAGTGGGTGTTGGGCTCCTAAACACTTGAGCTATCTTCCTCTGCTTTTCCCAGATCATGAGCAGGTTGCTGAATTGGAAGAGCAACTAAGACACAAACCAGCATCCACATGGGATGCCGATGTCCTAAGTTCATAAGTGGCTACTTTATCCACTTTGCCACAACGCTAGCCCTGCTGCTTCACTTCTGATCCAGCTTCTAGCTAATGCACCTGAGAAGGCAGCAGGTGACGGCCAAGCGCTTGGGCCCCTGTCACCTGTGTGGGTGATCCAGATGAAGCTCCTGGTTTCTGGCTTTGGCCTGGTCAAGGCCTGGCAATTGCAGACATTTGGGGAGTGTACCAGCAAGTGGAAGATCTCTGTATGTCTCCCCATCTTTCTGTGTCTCTGCCTTTCAAATAAATGCTTTTAAAAGTTAGAAGTGAAGTGTTTAGATCAAGGAGTGGTAGGGGCTATGGTAAACAGGAAACACTGAATAGAGAACTGAAAAAAAAAACAAAAAACAAACATTTCAAAAGCCAAACAAACATGTCTCCAGGTTGGATTTGGCCCTGAGGCCTGGAAAGAGGTTGGGAAAGGAAGGCCCCAGCACAACCTTCCTGGGATGGCTCCAGGCCCTTTGTGCCTGAGACTGAGCTAAGTTCTTAAAGCCCAGGACAGCTGTCTGGAAGACTAGGCCATTGTGTTTGACCTAGGAGATGGAAAGGGGAAATGTTTTCTTCCTTTGCAGCCATATTCAAATGGCTTTCCCCATCCCTGGGTTCCCTCAGTGGCCAGCACTGCAGATTTGTGGGGAAGGCTTTCAGCTTCCCAACTCCATAAGTCTGAAGAGACTTATGCAAGTGCAGTCAGGACCCAGTTGCTTGACCAAGGCAGGGCAGGAAGTGGGGGTGACTGAAGAGTCAGGCGCTTCTTAGAGAAGCAGCGCTTGGGCCAAACCAGCAGCCCCAAATCCATCCCTTACCACATCTAAACTAACCTGCAGGGAAAACAAAATGTTCTAAGAATAAGGTTGGCAGGAAAGAAGGGGGATAAAACAGAGTGGGCAAGGAAGGGGCAATCTGTGTTGGGTGGTTTGTAAACAGTGGTGTGTGGAAGGGCTCCCAAGGTACTGGTCATGTTAGAGAACTTACATTTTTAAAATACATCTATCAATCTGAAGGCAAAGTGAAAGAGACAAAGAGAGACCTTCTGTTTCTTGGTTTTCTCCTTAAACAGCGAGGGTGAGGCCAGGCCAAACCAGGAGCCAGGAACTCTTATCTTGGTCTCCCAAGTCCTCCGGCTATCATGGCCTGCTGCCTCCAAGGTTTGTTAGCAGGGATCTGCATCAGAATTGGAGGCAAGATTCTACCCCAAGCACTCTCATATGGGGTGCAGGGTTCCCAAGTGGTGGCCTAATCCACATGTCATAATGTTTTCCTGCGTCCTGTGAAATAGACTGAATCAGAATTGGATTTAGCAAGTCACTCTGGCTGCCTGAGAGAACCCAGTGGATACAACAGAGCAAGGCCAGTGAGGCAGGGTTCCCCAGGAATGCATCCTCCTAGAGTGATGGCAGGAAGGGCCACGTCAGTCCAAGTATCCCAGAGAAGTCCTGGGTTCCTCTCTGTCCCCCGGCGAAGGCCAGTCTTTGACACCTGAGGATGTCTTTCCCAGCTTCTTTCTCAGAGTGTCTTACTGAGCCACAGCATTGTGTCACCTGGGAGTTTGTGCAGGGATACATATTCCTGGGCCCCCTCTCCAGGCTCACTTAATCTGAATCTACATTTATTTATTTATTTTTAATCTATATGAAAAGCAGAAAGAGAGACATAGAGCTCCCATCTACTAGTTCACCTCCCATATGTCCACAACAGCCAGGACTGGGACTAGCCAGTCTGGAGCCAGGAACTCCATCTAAGTCTCCTATGTGGGTGGCAGGGCCCAGCACTTGATCCATCCCCTGCCGATTCCCAGAGTGCACATGGGCAGGTAACTGGAAGCGGAAACAGAGCCAAGACTCCAACCTAGGCACTCTGCTATGAACAGTAGGAACCTCCCAAGCAGCCTCAACCACTACTCCAAACATGCACCCCTGACCTGCATTTCCCAGGGATCCCCAGTGTATCCTGCACACATTAGAAAGTGAAGGGATGGGGCCTGGTGCCTAGCCTAGCGGCTAAAGTCCTTGCCTTGAATGCACCAGGATCCCATAGGGGCACCGGTTCTAACCACAGCAACCCCACTTCCCATCCAGCTCCTGGTTGTGGTCTGGGAAAGCAGTCGAAGACGGCCCAGAGCCTTGGGACCCTGCATCCACATGGGAGACCTGGAGGAAATTCCTGGCTCCTGGCTTTGGATTTGGCTCAGCACCGGCCGTTGTTGTCACTTGGGGAGTGAATCATTGGATGGAGGATATTTCTCTCTGTCTCTCCTCCTCTCTCTATATACCTGATTTTGTGATAAAAATAAATAAATCTTAAAAAAAAAAAAAAGAAAGTGAAGGGATGGGCATTCAACCGAGCAGTTGAGACACTCGTTGGGATAGCAGCATCTCACACTGGAGTGCATGAGTTCAAGTTCCAGCTCCCTCTGATTTCCTGTGAATGCACCCCTGAGCAAGCAGCCGTGATGGTCTGAGTGGTTAGGTCCCTGCCAGCCACATGGAAGATCTGGATGCATTCCCAGCTCCAAGCTTTGGCCTGACTCTGCAGATGAAAGCTTGCTTTATCTCTCAAATAGACAAAGCATGTGAAAAGTGCTGTCCCAGGCTGTCACTGGCTCCCTGCAGCCTCTGTAGGTGCTCTGCTCTGCCCAGAGTGCTCCCTGCACAGGGTAGATGATGAAGCCACAACATCCTCCTCCACAGATGTCCCCTGGGTAGGACCTGCGTGCAGGTGCCCCAGACCTGAGTCCTGCGGCTCTTGCCACCATGCCACTCTCACGGGTTGCCCACTCAATGTGCTGTGCATCTCTCTCTTGGCAGGAGATAGTGGACTGGTTCAACGCCCTCCGGGCGGCGCGGTTACAATACCTAAAAACAGCCTTTCCTGAGCTCCCAGAATCCGAGGTAAGCTCACCGTGGCCCCAGCTTCCAAGTGTATTCCCCAGCTTTTCCTTCTCTTGACCTTGTAGACACTCACAGGACAGACCAGGGCTGTCTGCAGGTGGGACCCTAAGACTGAAGTGAGGTAGGGGCTCACAACCTTACACCTGGCAAAGCCAGCTGCAGAAAGCTGAGCTGTATCTCTGCTTCAGGACACGTGGCCGCTGTCTACAGCGACCAAATACCCAGTGTGTGGGTTTTTGTTTCTGACCCCTTCTGCCACTGGAAAGTACACATGATCCCTAACAGCTACTTACCAACAGCTTTTGCCCTTCAGGAGTCCGTTATGCTAGCAGAATTAATCATTCTCTTTCTATCATCTCCCCTTTTCACTGTGGGGTTTCTGGTCTCAGGAAGGCCCTGAGATCTTCCCCACTGTAATTTTTCTAAAAGATATTGATTTTTATTTGAAAGGCAGCTTTACAGAAATAGAAGGAGAGACAGAAGATCTATGTGCTAGTTCATTCCCCAAGTGGCCACAACAGCCAAAGCTAGGCCAAACCAAGGCTTGGAGTTTCTCCTGGGTCTCCTTGGAGTCTTTCCACATGAGTGCAGGGTCCCAAGGAGTTGGGCCATCCTCCACTGTCTTTCCAGACCATAAGCAGGGAGCTATATCAGAAATGGAGCAGCCGGGACTGGAACTGCTGCCAATATAGGATGCTAACACTTCAAGCAGAAGTTTACCTAGCTAAACGAAACTGCCAGCCCCTCCCCACCGTAATCATAATAGAAACACTCAGCCTTCCATGGCCAAGGTCATGGAGAACTGGAGAATTCCACAGCCACCTCTGCCAGGCTTGGGTGTGAAAGCCCATGTGGTGTGCTTACCTTCAGTCTGGAGGCTTGGGTCCTCATGGAAACTCAATTATTAATTTGCGGGTGACTACTAGAAGCCTTGGCACCTCTCCTCTCTGAGCATCTGGTAAGATGGCGGTTGGTCAGGGTCATCTTCAGAGTCTCTTCTGGCTCTGAGCTACTCTGGTCTGTCCCATTTTTGGTTCCTCTCTAAGATTCTGTAAGTGATGGGCATGGAAAGGCCATCTTCCTTCTGGGATTTTCTTGTTACCAACCATTCAACCCTCCTGGAAAGTCTAAATTTTCCTTCGTTAAGAGGTTTTCAGGGAGCTAGAAGGGGACGCAGCCCATTCCAGGTCCAGTGCTATGCTGAAGATGGATCCATCTGAGTCCAACAAAGCCTGGGTCAAGGCCCCAGATGTGGACATGCCAAGTCAGCACCCAGAACTGATCAAGGCTTGCCTCTGTGAGCATTAGGACTGCTGACCAGAGAGGCACATGGCACAGGTGCTCAGCCTTACATCATCTGTTAGGTTCCCATCTTGGCTGACCTGTGCAGATGAACCCAGTCGTCTGTCCACGGCCATGTGGTCCTTTCCCTTCATCATTTACCATCATGCTCTCTGATGCCCCTCTACCCCTAGCTGGTCTCCTCCCAGCCCACTTCCTTGTTGTTCCTTCCACCAAGTTTGGCTCTGCAGTTCCCCAGTCTTGGCCCTGGGCCCTGGAGCTCCAGGGACGGGCCTTTCTTCTTGGAAGCTTGCCCCAACTTATTAGACTGGCCTCTGGAGCACAGGGGGGCCCATGTCAGTCTCTGCCTGCCTCTACAGACAGAGGACGCAGGCTGGAATTGGATCCATGGCTTGGTTTCCTAACTACACAATGGAAGCAGCCTGGAGACAGAGGCCCCAGAGCCCTGGTCTAGAGCGTTCTCTATTTGCCCAGCTTGCCGTCACCTCCTGGAGGCCCTGGGCCTGATCCCCACCAGTGAGCGGACCCTGGTCAGGAGGCTCTGGAGTGTTCACATGTATCAGCACAATGTAGGGGTGCTGGGAGCACCATCACTTCCCTGGTGTGGATCCCAGCTCCTTGGTCCTCCTGCTTCGTGACCTTGAGAAAACTCCCTGTCGTTTCTGTGCAGCCTGATTTCATGGGGGTACACCATAAGGCTGAGAAGACCTGCCTCCCCGGGGGTCTAGGACTGTGCCAGAGCCCAATATACACCAGATTCTCCCAATAAGTTTCCCAAAGCCACGAGCATCTCCTCAGAGCTTCACTTGTACCTGTAACCCAACAATCACTCAGCTGAGACAGCCCCGCCCAGCAGGCTCTGACCACACCGAGGGTGCCGTGGACTGGCTCTGCTGAAACATTGAAAATTCTACCCAGGGCATGTTCTTAATATAACGCAGCTGGCTGCTGGCCACCAGCTCACATCCTTCCCCATGCACACTTCCCCTTGGCTGTGGAGCAACATTTTGTGGGGGAACCTCAAGCCCCCAGTGATGAGCAGGGGGTCAGATTCTGTCTTTCTCTTCCCAGCTCCTGCCACTCCTCACCCGGAATTACCTCAAACAAGGCTTCATGGAGAAGACGGGGCCAAAGGTATGTCACCCATGGGAGCAGGGAGGGGCGCTTGCAAGGCCCTGCCCAGTAGGCAGTTACTACAGAATTGGGGCATTGGGGAAATGGGTGAGTGGGTGGGGGTGAAGAGGGAGGAAAGGGAAGTAAAGCCAGACTCGTGAATTCCTGGGCTAAAGAACATGTCAGATGCTTGGTGAGCCAGTGTGGGCGCAGGCGCCTTTCCCCCGTCTCATCTCGTGGCAGCCCCACTCTTGTTCTCATCACTTTCAGCTTCGCTGAGCTTCCCCCAACTCCCCCCGCCCTGTGAAAGTAAACACACCTGCCAGAGGCACATGCGCATGGGCACATGGCTCCCCCCGCCCAAACCCTCTCCCCCTTATATACACACACACACACACTTGGCCACAGGGACACCCCTGTGGCTGCTCACCCCCACTTATCCATGGAGGAAGGGAAGGCCTAGTTGCTTTGGGCAGGGGTGTCCAGAAAGGCAGAGCCTGGATATTGGGGGAGTCCAGGGTCAGCAGGAGGTCATAAGGGGAGGGAGGAGCATGGGAGGGCCAGAAAGGGAAACCAGGGAGAAAGTAGATAGACAGAGCTTTCTCTTGGAAAGGTTTAGGGTGATTTCTAGAATGGTTGTTCAAAGGACTGGACCAGGAGCTAGGGCCTTGGGCAGGTGGAGGGGCATGCGAAGGTTGCTGAACTTCCTGCCATCCCTGGCCTGGGGCATCGCCCTCACTGTCTGCTGACCTCAGGTTAGGATTTAGCCCAGGCCAGCACTTTCAGACTTGTCGAGCAGCAGCCACTTCTGATTGCCCCAGCTTCCTTTTTCTGAGAGTTCTTTGTCCGCAGCCTGAGAAAGAGGGAAGCGCCCTGGTTAACCCAAGAGTTACCTGGAGGCAGCTGGGAGAAGCTGGCAGGGGAGGGAGGATGGTGGAGGGTTGGAGGAGAGGGTCCCCAGAGCCCTTGCCTAGGCTCCCCAGGAGGCATCCTTAGCGTGTCTGACCTCCAGGATGTTTGCCCATGGAGGCCCGGAGGGGACTGGAGAACTGGCAGGACCAGCTAGCTCTTGGGGCTAGGCCTGGCTGGCCTCTGGCCTCAGGGATCTGTCCTCAGTTCCCACCCCCACCCCTAGCCAGGCCAGGCTCTGCCATTCTTGGTAAGGAGCTTTCTTCTTCTGCAGCAGAAAGAACCTTTCAAGAAAAGGTGGTTCGCCCTGGACCCCCAGGAGCGGAGGCTGCTGTATTATAAGAACCCATTGGTAAGCATTGCACGGCAGCTGCGGGCAAGCGGGCAAGAGGGCTTGCCTCCCCCCTCCCCGCCCCCTCCACAGCCCGTGTAAGGGCCTCACCTGCAGGAAGTTCTTTGCTGCTAACCGTGGTCAGATAAGGTAGGCTCCTCCTCTAGGCCCCAGGGCTCTCCTCCAACCAGGATGCCAGAGCATGCTGTGGCTTGGGCTCCTGGGCTCCTGTCACAACCCTGCCTCTTGGAATGGGATGCACTTAACTCCATGTGCCTCAGTTTCCATTTCTGAAAAATGGGCTTAATAAGAATGCCTGCCTCTTATAAGAGGTTGACACGGTGAAATGCGGACAAGTCCAAATAAAGCACTAAGTTGGTGGGCCTGGTTGATCCTCCACCAGGGATAAGTGTCTTCCTATCGGACGATGCACACATGTGTGATGTGTTTCAGGATTTTAACCTGTCAAACTCAAGGTTCCACCTAGCAGAAATCCCGGGGGTCGGGGGGCACAGCCACATCCCCTTCTCAAATAGAGCCTGGGAGCCGTGAGCGTTTCAGGTTGGCAGGGGTCACCTCTCCCGCTTGGCAGCCTCTGAGGGTGCCGGTCCTGGGTTTTAGGATGCCTTTGAGCAGGGCCAGGTTTTCCTCGGGAGCAAGGAGCATGGCTACGAAGTCTGTGAAGGCCTGCCCAAGGGTGTCCGAGGCAGCCGCTGGAAAGCCGGCCTCACCGTGGTCACTCCTGAGCGCAGATTCGTGCTCACCTGCCCCAGCGAGAAGGAGCAGCGCGAGTGGCTGGAGAGCCTGCGGGAGGTCCTGACTTGTCCCCTGACACCTCTCCTCGGTAAGACTGGGGAACTAAGAGGGCAGGGACTGTGTGTGGCTGCGTGGTCTGCTCCCCAGGGGCAGCAACTGAATTTAGCTTGAGTTTAGCTGTGATGTCCAAAGTAGCCCTGACCACGCGCTGCCTGTCACTTTGTCTTGCTGCTGAAGAAAAGCCTGCTGCTCTCGCTGGGAATCTGCACACACTTGAGTGTCTGATGGGCCCTAAGCTCTTCTGCGAAAACTTGCACGCTCGGGGCTAGGGTGGGATGGAACCCTGGACACGGCCTCTCCCGGCTCGGCCCAGGCTTACCAGCCTTGTGCTTCCTGCCTCCGCCACACATCCTCCTTCCCTTTTCTCATGAGAAAACCCTGACCAGGCAGCTTCTGGGGGTCTGAATTCTTCCACACTGCAGGAGGGAAGGCTATTTTTGGTGTCTTTCTCTGTCTGCCTCTCTCCTGCTCCTCTTCTTCACCACAGAGAAGTCACCCGGGTGGAAGGGAGTGCTTCCCCGTGAGCCGCCAGCCCTCTGAAGAGAGGAGGGTGTGTTGTGCCACAGCAGGAGACTTTCAGGCTAGACCTGACCCTCCAGGGCCCAAGGGAGAAGTTGCTTGGAAAAGTACAGCCTGAGCAGGAGCTGACTTGCAGTCCCCCTGGGGACAACACTAGCGCCTCCTGAGAACGCCCAGCTGAACACACGCACCCTGCTGTCCCAAAACCAACACTGCAGTGCCTCAGAAACGGAAATTCGTAGCAAATTCTTGTCTTTTTAAACTTTAGTTAATTAATTAAAGACCTATTTATTTTATTTGAAAAGTGCAATTTCAGAGACAGGGAGAAACAGAGAGATCTTTCATCTGCTGTTTCACTCCCCAAATGGCTGAAATGGCCAGAGCTAGGCCAGTCTGAAGCCAGCCTTCTCTGGGTCTCCCATGTGGGTGCAGGGTCCCAAGCATTTGGGACATCCTGTACTGCCTTCCCAGGCAATATAAAGGGAGCTGAGGACATGGCACCTTTACCTAGCAGCTGAAGTCCTTACCTTGCATGCACTGGAATCCTATATGGGCACTGGCTCTAATCCTGGCCGTCCCACTTCCCATCCAGCTCCCTGCTTGTGGCCTGGGAAAGCAGTTGAGGTTGGCCCAAAGACTTGGGACCCTGCACTCATGTGGGAGACTTGGAGGATGCTCCTGGCTTCAGATTGGCTCGGCTCCAGGCATTGCAGCTGCTTATGGAATGAATCATCAAATAGAAGATCTTCCTCTCTGTCTCTCCTCCTCTCTCTTTATATATATATATGACTTTGCAATACAAATAAATAAATCTTAAAAGCAACGAAAAGAAAAGAGGGACTTGGATGGAAAGTGGAGCAGTCAGGGCATGAACTAGCATCCGTATGGGATGCCAGTGTCACAGGCAACAGCTTCCCCCGCTGCACCACAGGGAACTGAGATGGAGAGACAGACATCATCCATCTTCTGCTTTATTTCCTAAATGGCTGCAGTGGCTGGGGTTGGGCCAGTCTTAAGCCAGGAGTCAGGAACGCCAATTGGGTCTCCCACATGGACAGCAGAAGCCCACGTATTGAGGCCATTTTGCCGGGCACATTAGCAGGGAGCAGAATCAGGACATAAGCCAGTACTCCAATATGGGATGCCATCAGGTTAACCCCTTGTGCCACAACCCCCGGCCCTTGTGCTTTTTATTCCCCTTTCTGTGTTTCTGTATCTCTGCCTTTTCTTTTCTCTCCTTCTCTGGTGTGTGTCTTTGTGTGTGTGGAGGGGTGTGGATAGGTGAGTTTTTTTGGTCTGTTTTTGACTCTAGCTCTCTGTGTCACTGTAGGCCTGTGTCCTTGCTGTTACATACATCCAGCAGGCCCTCACCGTCCACCTCCCTCAACTCCCTCCTCTTCCCTTATAGCCTCATCCACAGAAGGTGGCCACAGCAGCAGGTGACCTGTCCAGCTAGGAGCTGGCTGTCCACGGCACACCTGGAGCTCCTGGTGGCAAGGGGGTACGTTCTCACCTGGGCCCTGATTGCCAGAGAAAGTGCCTCACAGTCAGGACTGACACTGTGACTTTATACCCACCGGACTCTCTGGGCCTTCCCCTGGCCAACCCCTGGGAACCTGGGGCTGTGGCACACAGGTGAACACGTTTGCCTCCCAGGGTCTGGTGCGCTCCCAGGCTGAAGATGGCTGTCCAGCCCAGGACTTCCTGACACTCAGCCTCATGCACGTGGCATCCTCCCACACCCTGAAAGATTATCCTGAACCTAAACAGGAAGACTCTGTCAGGCAAATCCATATTAGAGGCCTTGTGCTGAACAACTGGCCAGGACCTTCGGAACTGACAGTAGTCTCAAAGATGAAATTGTGCGGGAACTGTTTTGGATTCAAGGAGCGAAGACTTGTCAACCAACTGTGATTTTTGATTTGATCCTGAAGTTAAAATAACATAAAGGCTAGAAATTAAGGAATTTTAGTCTGGAAATATGAGTGCATTTTAGCCAATTTTATTGTAACATTGTATGATTGTGCCATGCTCTTGTTTTTAGAAGACATACGCTGAAGTATTTGGAGGTCAAATGTAATGGTGTCAACGAGTGATTCTTAAATGGCTCAGGAAAAAAAAAAAATCAGTGCATGTGTCCATGTACTTGGAGTACACAATATGTGTGCAAGAAACCAGTGTTGGGTGCTGCAGGTTAGGCTGCCACCTGTAATGACAACTGCCAATATGAAAGCTGTTTTCAGCTATGTCTCCTCCATAAGAAGATTGCCTGGGACCTGGTGCTATGGCTTAATAGCTAAATTCTTTTTTTTTTTTTTTTTAAGATTTATTTTTATTATTTTTTCATTGGAAAGGCAGATATACAGAGAGGAGAGACAGAGAGGAAGATCTTCCGTCCAATGATTCACTCCCCAAGTGAGCGCAACGGGACAATACTATGCCGATCCGAAGCCAGGAGCCTCTTCTGGGTCTCCCACGCGGGTGCAGGTTCCCAAAGCCTTGGGCTGTCCTCGACTGCCTTCCCAGGCCACAGGCAGGGAGCTGGAAGGGAAGCGGGGCTGCCGGGACTAGAACCGGCGCCCACATGGGATCCCGGGCGTGCAAGGCGAGGACCTTTAACCACTTGCGCCACCGCGCCGGGCCCAATAGCTAAATTCTTACCCTTCAAGTGCCAAGATCCCATATGGGTTCCAGTTTGTGTCTCGGGTGCTCTACTTCCCATCCAGCTCCCTGCTTGTGGCCTGGGAAAGCAGTCGAGGACGGCCCAAAATCTTGGGATCCTGCGCGCTCGTGGGAGAGCTGGAAGAACTCCTGGCTCCTGGCTTTGGATCAGCACTGCTCTGGCCATTGCGATCACTTGGGGAGTGAATCATCAGACAGAAGATCTTCCTCTCTGTCTCTCCTCCTCTCTCTATATGTGCCTTGCCAGAAAATAAATAACTAAAATCTTAAAAAGATATTTATATATTAAAAAAAGAAGAAGATGGCCTGAGTTCATGGATCCTTGCCACCCACGTGGAAGGTCTGCATAAAACTCCCAGCTCCTGGCTGCAGCCTTGTCCAGCAACTGCCACTTAAGCCACTTTGGGAGTGAACCAGTGAATGGAAGATTTCTCTTTCTCTAAAACTCTTTCAAATAAATGAATCTTTTTTTTGCATGTGTGTATGAATACCCTTGTGTATAGTGATCACAGCTGATGAATTCAGATGAACTACAGATGAGTGTTCATTCATGTCAATTTTAATATGAAGATTTTCTTCATTTTTTTTGGTGTAGAACATTTACTTATTTGTTTTCCTTGAAAACACTCAAGTTTAAGTCAGTGGGAAATTGTTTTAATGAAAGAATTGTACATTTTCTTCCCACATATCCTGCTTTGCATCAGGAAATGACATTGTGATCCATTTCACTACAAGTAAAATATTACAAAATATTTACAGGCAAATATTAAAAATAAACACAAAGGACCAGATGAGATAAACTGGTTTTCTGGGAGTCTCTATTCCAATGCCCACAGCACACAAGAGTCAGAGCAAATAATAACTATGACTCCCCTGGTCACAAATTTTCAAAGAGCTGGAGGAAGGGAAAGACGGGATGACATGGCGGTGTGCCAGGGAATGGGTGTGAGCAGCACTGCTTCCACAGCCCATTTATCGTCAGTGCCATACCCTCTCTTGTGTATGTAGTAAATTCTGAAGAAGGCTTAACTTCAGGATATTCCTTGAACTCAAATTAGAAAATACCCTCAAAACGGAAGTAGCTCTTTCCCCTAAGATTAATTAGAGCCTCTTCATGAGCTACTGTCGTGGAGAAGTATGCTCTGGCATGAGGCTGTCACATCAGCTGATATGAAGGTTTTCTTTTTTAAGATTTATTTATTTTTATTGGGAAGGCTGATATACAGAGAGGAGGAGAGACAGAGGGGAAGATCTTCCATCCAATGATACATTCTCCAAGTGGCCGCAATAGCCGGTGCTGTGTCGATCTGTAGCCAGGATCCAGGAACTTCTTTCCGGGTCTCTCACACGGGTGCAGGGTCCCAAGGTCCCGGGCCTCTCAGGCCACAAGCAGGGAGCTGGTTGGGAAGCGAAGCTGCTGGGATTAGAACCGGTGCCCATATGGGATCCCTGTGTGTTCAAGGCGAGGACCTTATCCATTACACTATTGTGCCGGGCCCAGAATGTATTTTTCTTTCTTTAAAGATTTTATTTGTTTGAAAGGCAGAATGAGCAGGGGAGTGAGAGAGAGACCTTCCACGATGGTCGATTCTGGACCAGGCCAAAGTCAGGAGCCAGGGGGTTCCACCTGGCCTTCTTTATGGGTGGCAGAGGCCTAAGTACTTGGGCCATCTTTCATTGCTTTCCCAGGCATGTTAACAGGGAGCTGGACTGGAGCCAAAGTGGCAGGCACTTGGACTTGTATGTAATGTGATACCAGAGGTAGCAACTTAGCCACCTGTGTGTGCTGTACCACATCGCTGGCTCCAGAGACCAGCAATATCACCAAACATTAGGTGTGATGTCCGATAATAATGTTATATTCCGTCAAAATACATACTAAACCTGTGTTGTGGTACAGTAGGTTAAGCAGCCCTTTTGTTAGTGGCATTCCATATGCCAGCTAGTTCAAGTCCAGGCTGCTCCACTTCTGATCCAGCCCCTTACAGCTAGGAAGGGAGCAGATGATGGTTCCAGGTGTTTGGGCCCCTGCTGCCCATGTGGGAGACCCAGATGAAGTCCTTGGCTCCTGGCTTCACCTTAACATTTGGTGAAGTAAACCTGCAGAGGAAAGAACTCTGTCTCTCCCTCTATCACTCTGCCTTTCAAGCAAGTAAATTTTAAAAGCTAGTGGGAAGCTGCATGTTTCACTTCTGTGTAATTCAAGTAGGTCAGAGAGGTACCAGTCCTACCATTTTCCTGCCAGCAGAAAGAGTTTGGAATATCAGTAGGCAACACAGACTAGGGTGTGTCTCTTCTGCTCTTGGGATTAGTCACCAATTTGTGTAATCTGGGACCTGGAGAATCCTGACACGATGGGGTAAAGTACGGCACAGACTGTGGTCAGTTCAACAAACGGTTCCTGGCTCTGGTCTGTGCCACTCCCGAATGGCAGGAGAGCCTGGAAGTCCCCTTACCTCCCTGGGGAGGGCTTGGTGCTGCTCAAACAGTGTCTGGTTCCAACGGAGTAGCAGGGGAGGGCACTAGAGTCCTGGCCTGACACCATTCAGTTCCTGAATCAAATCCTTGCTCCTTCCAAGAGGGGTCGGTGTTGCATTCATTAAATTAAAAAAAAATTGTTTTTAATTTATATTAATTGGAAAGGCAGATTTACAGAGAGAAGGACAGAAAGATCTTGGTTCACTCCCCATGTGGCTGCAACAGCCGGAGCTGAGCTGATCTGAAGTCAGGAGCCAGGAGCTTCTTCCAGGTCTCCCACACAGGTGCAGGTTCCCAAGGCTTTGGGCTAACTGCTTTCCCAGGCCACAAGCAGGGAGCTGGATGGAAAGCGGGGAACCAGGGAAATGAGCCAGTGCCCCAAAAGCGATCTCAGCACATGCAAGATAAGGATTTAACCAGTGAGCCATCCTTGCATTTACTTAAGGAACATAACTTGCATTAACTTTATCTATCTATCTAATTTTTATTTGAAAGGTTGACACAGAAGAGACATTCCATCTTCTGGTTCACTCCCGAAATGCACAGGAGAGCCAGGGGCTGGGACCTCAGTTCGGGTCTCCCAAGCGGATGGACCGTGTCCTTGCCTTCCAGGACGCGTCCTAGCAGGAAGCTGCATAGGCACTCCCCCCCAGTACATTCTAAGCAGTGTCCTAACCGCTGTGTCCAAAGGCTGCGTAGGAGTGTAGCTTTAGTGGGAGTGAGGGAGTGGGGGAGCGCCCAGCCACAGGGGCTCTGCGACCTTGGAGGGCTCCTCCTGAGGGAAGCAGCTCACAAAAGGGGTTCTGCCCCAGAGTCAGGCGGCTCCAACCAGCAGCTGCGGAGATAGTTCCCCGGAAGACGACGCTGAGCAGGGGAAGAGGAAGAGCGAGGGAGGAGCCGGAGAGACCCGGGGCCGGAGGGGCAGGTTACACCGCCGCTTCTGCGCCGCCATGGCGGGCTCGAGCTCTGCCCCGGCTGTGCCCGTGTGGCTCGCCGAGGATGACCTCTGCTGCATCATCTGCCAGGGGTTGCTGGCCTGGCCCGTCACGTTGCCCTGCGGCCACAGCTTCTGCAAGAACTGCCTGACAGACCTGTGGGATAAGCGCGAGGAGCGAACGCGGAGCCGCTGGTGCTGTCCTACCTGCCGGGAGGCCCTGGAGCAGCGGCCGGCATTGTGCAAGAACACGCTGCTGCAGGACCTGGTGGACAAGTACAGCAGTGCGGCGTGTGAGCTGGAGGACGGGGGCCCCGCGCCCGCTGCCAGCCCGACCCCCAAGTCCTGGCGCAGCGCAGCCTCACCGCGGGTAGGCAGCCCGGGTCCCGGTTCCGCTGACTCCGTCCCCACCTCGCGGTCTTTCCTGCTTCCTCATGGATCGGCTTTTACATTCGTTTTTCTCTATTTGGAAAGTTCAGAGAAGTATGAAGAAGTGGGAAAAAATGTGCAAATTTCCCGAAATCCCATGCAACCTAACCACTCTACATCTTAGCTTGTTTCTACTTCTACCATGTCTTTCTGTGGGTTGGAGACGTTTTTAAAAAATCGTTTTATATATCTATACAACTTTATTGTGGTTTTATATATATCACGTGTTTTATATATTAAAGTTTATTGTGGTTATGTACATATAAATGCATATATATGTATATATTACATTTGCCATCCTAACGGACTTACGAGTGGGCAGTTCAGCAGCATTAACTGCTTTCCCAGTGTTGTACAGCTCTTACTCCCCAAAAACCTCTCAGCCTCACAGAAACACAGAAACTCTGTGTGTGGTTTTGTTGTTGTTACATTTATTTTCTATTTACTGGTTCACTCCCCAAGTGTCCGCAAATGCCCGCAATGGCCGGAACTGCACCAATCCGAAGCCAGGAGACAGAGTCTCTTCTGGGTCTCCCATGTGGGTGCAGGGTCCCAAGGCTTTGGGTGGTCCTTGATTGCTTTCCCAGGCCACAAGTAGGAAGTTTGATGGGAATCAGGGTGCCGGGATTAGAACCGGCACCCATATGGGATCCCAGTGTATGCAAGGCGAGGACTTTAGTTGCTAAGCTACCAGGCCCCACTTCTCTATTTAACAGCTCCTGGTATGCATCTACTTTTCTTTTATTTAAACTTTATTTATTTTTATTGCAAAGTCAGATATACAGAGAGGAGAGACAGGAAGATCTTCCATCTGATGATTCACTCTCAAGTGACCGCAATGGCCGGTGCTGTGCTGATCCTAAGCCAGGAACCAGTAGTTCTTCCAGGTCTCCCATGTGGGTTCAGGGTCCCAAGGCTTTGGGCCGTCCTCGACTGCTTTCCCAGGCCCCAAGCAGGGAGCTGGATGGGAAGTGTAGCTGCCAGGATTAGATCCAGTGCCCTATGGGAATCTCAGTGCTTCAAGGTGAGGACTTTATCCACTAGGCCACCGTACCAGGCCCTGCAGGCAGGCCCATGTCTGCCTGTTCTACGTACTCCTTGTGATTAGGGACATTCGCTGCCAGTTCTCCTGCCACCTCTCCCTCTCTGACACTCTGCCTTTCAAATCCTTACACATGAAGGTGAACAGGGATGCGCAGTGGCGTTTGTTGAGAAGACTGTCTCCAAGGCTGTGACTTGTCATCTCTGCCCAAACCCAAGGGGCTGTGGATATGTGGGTTTATTGCTGGTCTCCATTCTCTTTCCCTGTCTGTCTGTCATTAGGTTAGTACTACCCTGCTTTATCGTAGCTTTGTAGCTTTCCTTTTTAACTGGAAAGTCAGATGTACAGAGAGGAAGAGAGAGAGAGGAAGATCTTCAGTCCATTGATTCATTTCCCAAGCAGCTGCAATGGCTGGAGCTGTGCCAATCTGAAGCCAGGAGCCTCTTCTGGGTCTCTCACGTGGGTGCAGGGTCCCAAGGCTGTGGTCCGTCCTCCTCCCCTGCTTTCCCAGGGAGTTGGATCAGAATGACGCAGTTGGCACCCATCTGGGATACCAGCACTACACAAGGAGGGCCTTACCTTCTATGCCACAGCACAGGCCCCAATTCTTAGATATTTTATCCTTTTTTTTAACATTTACTGGAAAGACAAAGAGGTGGTGGGGGGAAGAAAGACATTTGTCTTCTCTCTGCTGGTTCCCTGCCCGAGAGGTCACAGCAGCCATGGCAGGAGGCTGAAACTCCATCAGGATCTCCCGCGTGAGTGGCAGGGACCCAAAGGCTTGGACCATCTTCTGCTGCTTTCCCATATAGGAAGTAGGGAGCTGGGGCAAAAGTGGAACTGACGTCAGTGGAACTGACGCTCCCATGGGATGGTAGTGTTGCTGAAGGCTGCTTAACCTGCTGGTTCCTTGGTATTTTATTCCTTGGAAGCTGTGAAAATAGAACTCCCTGCTTTGTTTCTTCTTTAGGTTGTTCATTGCAGGTGTATAAAAATACAATCATGTTTGTATGTTTATCTTATATCCTGTAACTTTGCTGAGTCATCTCTTGTGGTTTAAGGATACTCTGTGTATGGAATTCTGTCACGCAAACTGGGGTAGTTTTTTCTTTCTAATTTGAGGATTTTAAATTTCTTTTTCTTGCTTAATTCTTCTCAGAGTTGTTTTTGTGTTAGGTGTGACAATTAAGTTGTTGGTCCCTTTTGAGTGCATTTTTATCTGCTGTCATTTAAGGGGCCAAGTTCATTTTGTAGGGATATCCAATTTTCTCAGTACTATTTGTTGAAAAAATGTTTGTCTCACTGAATGTGTCTAGCACTATTGTAACAAGTCGTTGGAACATGTAGGTGGGTCCTTGAGAGAAATTGTGGCAGGGACCCTGAACCCACGTGGGAGACCTGGAAGAGCTCCTGGCTCCTGGCTTCGAACTGGCTCAGCACCAGCCTTTGTGATCACTTGGGGAGTGAATCATCGGATGGAAGATCTTCCTCTCTGTCCCTCCTCTCTGTATAGATGACTTTCCAATAAAAATAAATAAATTTTTAAAAACAAAAATGCTATGCATTTTCTGTGCACTTGTTGAAGCCTTCTTGAAAATGCAGGCTTTCACCCGGGACTTCACTGGACTCTACTGAGCCACGTGCATGACTTTCTGGCTCCACCACAGTGCTCATGGCTCCCTTTGTCTACTTGTGGTTCCTGTGCCTGGGCTTCTAGGACTCAGGGACCCTGGGTTTGCTCTTTTAAAGGTGGTGACCCCAAGGAACCTTGCAGCAGTGGGTGAGGAGCTGGTGGAGCTGGTGGAACAGCTGGTGGACACTGTCAGGAGCCTTCAAAGTCACCTACCCACCTTGGAACTTGGACCAGACCCAGAACTGAGCACCCTGGCCGAGGTAGGCTTGGCTGGGGGAGGACGGTGTGAGGGAGGGGCAGGGCTGCGGGCCGACTCCCACCTGGAGCTAAAACATGTAGTCCGTCCCAGGATAGTCTCAACTGGTCTCCTCATTGCCACTCATGCAAGAAAAGAGATCTGGAATTCCCGAGGTAGGGTCTGGAAGCCTCCCGTGGCCTAGGATGCAAGTACAGTCCACCCAAGTTGTGACCTCTGTGTAAATCCTGCAGGCATTCTAGGTCTCGTCTGTTCACAACCTTTAGGAGTCTTTGACGTAGCGAGCTGTGCCTTCTGTCTTGTAACATTCCCTTCTCTTGCCTTCTGGGACACCTGCCCTCTGCCGCCTGTCCCCACTCTAAGAGCCTCAAGGGCTGCTGCACGGCAGGTGGATGCTACAGTTCTAAGGCCAAGTGGCAGGTCCCTTTCTCTTCCCCATCTCCCTTCCCTAGAGCACTTCGTGACACCCCAAGCCATTTGGGAATGAACCAGTAGAGGGGAGGTTTTTGTCTCTCCCTCTTTAACTCTTCCTTTAGTTAAGCTCCATGAACTTTAATATCTTTAGAAGTTGGGGAAAATAAACCTACTTTGTGAGGTCATTATGCAAATTAGAGGTGAGTGGTACAGTTTGAGCATCTCTAGTCTGAAGGTCTGATAATCTGAAATTCTCTAAAATCTGAAGGTTTTGAGCACCCGGAGGAAATACAGTGGAAAATTCGACACCTAACTACCTCATGCTGGGAGGCAGTCTTAGTGTATATGTGCTAAAAATATGACCTTCTGACTATGTGTATAAGCTGTATATGAAACAAATATTCTGGGGCCAATATTGTGGTGAGTAGGTAAAGCCATTGCTTGCAATACTGGCATCCCAAAGGTGCAGGTTGGAGTCCCTGCTGCTCCACTTCTGATCCAGTTCCCTGTTAATAGCCTGGGAAGATAACAGAAGATGGCGCAAATGTTTGGGCCCCTGCTCCCCACATGGGAGACCTGGATGAAGTTGCTGGCCTTGGCTTTGGCCTGGCCTAGCCCTAGCAGTTGTGTCCATGTGGGGCGTGAATCAGCAGATGGAAGGTTTCTTTTTCTCCCTCTCTTTGTAACTCTGACTTTCAAATAAATAAGTAAACCTTTTAAAAAATTAAATGCAAACAAAACAACAACAAAATGAAATTGGAGAGAGACTTCTGGTTCCAAGTATTTTATTTATTTTTAAAGATTTATTTTAGGGCCCCACGCCATGGCCTAACAGCTGAAGTCTTGGCCTTGAATGCTCTGGGATCCCATATGGGTGCCGGTTCTAATCCTGGCAGCTCCACTTCCCATCCAGCTCCCTGCTTGTGGCCTGGGAAAGCATTTGAGGACAGCCCAAACCCTTGGGACCCTGCACCCATGTGGGAGACCTGGAAGAAGTTCCTGGCTCCTGACTTCAGATTGGCGCAACACCGGCCATTGCGGTCACTTGGGGAGTGAATCATTGGACAGAAGACCTTCTTCCTGTGTCTCTCCTCCTCTCTGTATATCTGACTTTTTAAAAAAAAAATAGATTTATTTATTTTTATTGCAAAGTCAGATATACACAGAAGAGGAGAGACAGAAAGATCTTCTGTCTGATGATTCACTCTCAGGTGACCGCAACGGCCGGAGCTGAACCGATCTGAAGCCAAGAACCAGGAGCTCTTCTGAGTCTCCCATGTGGGTCCAGGGTCCCAAGGCTTTGGGCTGTCCTCAACTGCTTTCCCAAACCTCAAGCAAGGGGCTGGATCAGAAGTGGGGCTGCCAAGATTAGAACCGGCACCCATATGGGATCCCAGCGCATGCAAGGTGAGAACTTTAGCTGCTAGGACACCGTGCCAGGCCCCTAAGTATTTTAGACAAGGAATACTCAACTAGTGCTTAGTTTGAGGTGAGGACTCAGTTCGTTCCATACCTGCTCTCATGCTTGGTGAAAATCATGGAGAATGGGAAAGTCACGTGTTGATGTCAGAGAGCAGGTGAGGGACTAACTGGAGAAAAACAGCAGCTGAGGGTTGCAGGAGCCCAGAGCGTGTGCTGGAGCCCCCTGGAGGCAGGGCCTGGGTATAGGCTGTGGGTCTTCACGTTGCCTCTGAAGAAGTGGATGTGGTGATGGAGTCAGGACATGCTCAGTGACTCTGGTGGACCTTAGGTTGACAGTTGTCATGGTGTCACCAAAGAGCTTCGTGTTTGAAAGTCTTAGAAAGTACAGAGCGGCATGGAACACAATGGAAATCCTCCTGTTAAGTCTTCCTTCTCCCACCCCCAGGGTGTTTCTGCTGGATCTTTTTGCCACAGACCCCATTTTGTCTTCAGGACATGCTTGTTAAGGACCTCATTTTGTTTTCAAAAACTTGCTGGGAGTTGGATGGAACATTACAGACTGATAGCAGAATATGTCTAGAACATGTATGGATCTCCTAGTAAATTTTCTTTCATTCCTTTTTGAATGATTCATCAATAGGACTTTTCTTCTGGGGTAGACCTTCCTTTGGCTTCAGGAAAGCAAGTGACTTCCAGTGCACCTGAGGGAAAAATGAGCAACATTCTTCGTAACCTGGGAGAAATTCAGGAAAAATTACGAGAAAACTTCATGCGGAAAGAGGCTGCTGAAGAACAGATGTGTGGTGAGTGGATTCAATTTAGTGGAGGGGGGTGACAGATGATGGCTGGGGAATGTAGGAGGCCTTGAGGACAACATCTCAGACCCGCTGTGTCACCGCGTGGCACTGTCAATCCAGGACGAGGGAGCTGGGAAGCTTTGTGGCTGAAGACAGAGTGGTAAAAACAGATGAAGGGATTTTGCTTGAATTGCTTCACTCCCCCAAATGCATGCAACAGCTGGAGCTGAGCCCGACAGATGCTGGCAGCTGTGAGCTCTAAACCTCCCACGTGGGTAGCAGAGGGCCAAGTACTTGAGCTGTCTTCTGTTGCTTTCTCAGCTGCATTATCAGGAAACTGGATCAGAAGGCGAGCAGTCAGGACTCAGATTGGCACTGTGGCTCAGAATGCCCATGGCACAAGCAGTGGCTGAACCCACTGCCCTCCAGTGTCAGCCTCGGGATGTATTTTAGTATTAGAATGGGCCCGCGATATGGGCTTGGCAGTCAAGAAGGGTAAGTTGGACACAGTCTGTTCTGCAGAGTGGCCCACATTTGGGGTCAGATGGCCCCCGCAAGGATCTTTCTCTCAAGACTTAGTTTCTAAAGTCAAGACAGTCATAACTAGACCAGGGAAATCATGACATCCTGACCAGAGCCTGAAAAGTCTCCTGTGCGAAGATTTGCTTGGGGACCCTCCTAACTGGCTAAGCATTTCCTTCTTGGATCCCCCGGACACGGGAACCACACCAACCCCAGTGCTTCCAGCCTTAATTGTCCAGAACTCTCCAGCTGATGTGCAGAAAGAGGGAGAGAATTCTGTCCCTGGAGAAGCCTATCCTCCAGGAGGACCCCAGTTTATATCCTTCCCTAATAGATTTAGATTTAGGTGTCAGTTCCCCGAGAGTTCTCCCCATATGCAATTCCACTGCTTATCCCAGAAGCTGACTCTTCCTCTGAACCCTTGGCACCACCTTTAGAGACCAGGAAGAGCCCGAGACCTTGCTTCCAGAGAAAGGAAGACCACAAGGGGCCCACTTCCTCAAGTGATTCCGTTCTGCTGTTACCCATGTGCCCCATTGGGCAGGCAGAGCCGGGGTGGGGCCAAACTTATCAGTACTGGCCCTTTTCCTCCAGCAGTCTTTATAACTGGAAAGCTCAAAATCCCCCTTTTTCCAAAGACCCTAAGGCCGTGACTGACCTTGTGGAGTCTATTATGATTTGTTTTTTAAAGATGCATTTACTTTTATTACAAAGTCAGATATATAGAGAGGAGGAGAGATAGAGAGGAAGATCTTGTGTCTGATGACTCACTCCCTAAGTGAGTGCAACGGCTGGTGCTGTTCCCCCGTTGGAACAGGCCCAGGGTGGGCAGGGAACAATGCTTCCACTGCTGCGGATTGGGTCATTGGAAGAAGGAATGCCCACAACTTAGAAGGAATCAGAGAGTAAACATAGCTTGAGTGATCCTGGTAGGAGAAGACTAGGGGAGTTGGGGCTTGGCACCCCTCCCTGAGTCTTGGGTAACCCTATATGTGGAGGGGAAACTGCTAGTTTATGGTAGATACAGGTACCCAGTATTCAGTGCTCAATCAAACCCACGGGTCTCTCTCTGGGAAGACTAGTGTAGTGCAAGGGGCGACAAGGACGAAGGTTTGCTCATGGAAAAGCAGTAGAAAAGTAGACCTGGGAAGGCATCAGATCACCCATTCGTTCCTAGTAGTCCCAGAGAGCCTTGCACCATTACTAGGCAGAGACTTGCTCACTAAGATTGGGGCCTGTATTCACTTTGAGCCAGACAGAATAGAGGTAATTGACAGCCAGGGATGTCCGCTCCATGTACTTACTATGTCTCTGGCTGATGAGCACCGCCTCCTTTCTAAACCACCAACGGCCTGGGATAAGGACATGAACTACTGGGTTAAGGCCTGCCCCGAGGCCTGGGCTGAGATTGCAGGAATAGAATTAGCGGCCCATCAACCTATGAGTCAGGCCTTATCCCATGCCGGGAGAGGCTCGTCAAGGCATTGCGCCCCACATTCACTGGTTGATGAAGGCTGGTATTCTGAGGCCTTGTCACTTCCCGTGGATTACACTATTTCTGCTGGTGAAGAAGCCAGGCAGGCATGATTATTGCCCAGTTCAGGACTTAAGGAAAGTAAATGAAAGAGGAGGACATCCATTCTACAGTGCCAAACCCGTACAATCTCCTGAGCCACCTCCCTCCTTTGCACACTTGGTATATAACTCTTGATCTAAAGGATGACTTCTTCAGCATAGCCTTGGCCCCAGTCAGCCAGCCACTATTTGCTTTTGAATGGCATGATGCAGGGAAGGCCAGGCAGTTAACCTGGATGAGACTCCCACAAGGGTTTAAAAACTTATCTACCTTGTTTAATGAGGCACTTAGCCAAGACCTAGGACTATATCAGCAGGCACACCCCATGGTGATTCTGCTACAATATGTAGATGATCTACTCCTAGCCACCCCAACTGGGGAAGACTGCCAAAAAGCTACTAGAGACTTGCTTGAAAAGCTGGGAAAGTTAGGGTATCGGGCCAGTGCAAAGAAGGCCCAGATCTGCAGTTGGTAATCTACTTGGGGTATAAACTTTAGGAGGGGGCCCAATGGTTAACAGAAGCCATGAAAGAGACTATTCTCAGCATTCCTGAATCCACCTCCCCACGAGAGGTGAAAGAATTCTTAGGGTCAACGGGTTACTGCAGACTCTGGATACTGAGCTATGCTGAGCTGGCTAGACCCCTGTATTAGGTCGCTAAAGAGCAGAAAGACTGGACCTGGCTAGGGCAACATCAGCAGGCCTTTGACGAATTAAAGGCTCCCCTTCTTAAAGCCCCAGCACTGTCACTGCCCAACCCATTGAAACCCTTTGTCCTTTTCGTGGATGAAAAGAAGGGAATTGGAAAAAGGGGTCCTGACCCAAAAGCTGGGCCCATGGAAATGACCAGTAGCTTATCTGTCAAAGAGACTTGATCCCGTAGCTACTGGCTGGTCACCGTGCCTCCATTTCATTGTTGCCATTGTCTTGCTGGTGTGGGATACAGACAAGTTGATCTTTGACCAGAACTTAAGAATTGTTGCTCCTCATGTTGTGGAGGAAGTCCTGAGACAGCCCCTCTGGTAAGTGGATGAGCATTGCTAGGCTCATGCACTACCAGGGGCTCCTACTAGACTCTCCCAGGATCATATTCCTAGAGCCAGCCTTCCTGAACCCTGCCATCCTGCTGCCTAACCTGGACATGAAGACCCCCCTTCATGACTGCTGTGAGATCCTGTCAGAAGTCACTCAAGCTCGCCATGATCTTCTGGCCACACCTTTGCGGAACGGTGAATTGACCTGGTTCACGGACGGCAGTAGCTTTGTGAAGGGTGGAGTGCGGAAAGCAAGGGTGGCAGTGGCCGACCATAACGGAAACGTGATATGGAGCAGTGCCCTCCACCTAGGGACCTCAGCACAGAAGGCCGAGCTGATTGCACAGTCTACACAGACAGCCGGTCCGCCTTCGGTACTGTGCACGTCCACAGTGCCATCTACCGAGAGCGGGGCTTCATGACGGCGGAAGGGAAAGAACTGCAGAACTTGGCCAAAGTACAACACCTACTAGCAGCTGTGGAGAGACCCAAGGTGGTTTCTGTAGTACACATCCCTGGCCCCCAGTCAGCCAACACCCCTGAAGCAGTCGGGAACCACCAAGCAGATGCAGAAGCAAAGAGAGTGGCTGAGACTATCAGAGACCCCAAAAATGGAGAAGGGGAGGCCATCATGGTGGCAGCAATGGATTTGCTGTACCAGAATTCCAAGCATTGCCGCTGCAGCCTGAATAAACCCCTGAAGATTTGATGTGGATCCAATGCCAGCACCTTCAAAAGGCCAGGCCGGACAACTGGTACAGGGACTCAGAGGGAAGACTGCTTTTGCCTGCAGGACTAGGAAAATTTCTCATCACTAACTTGCATGAAACCACCCACCTAGGGTTGAAAAAGCTGCTGGATCTATTTGACACTGCTTTCCTCTGGTTCGCGCACCATAACTCTGAGGCCAGACTGGTAGTAGAGTGGTGTATGGGATGCCAGGTGATGAAACCTAGCAGGAAGGGACTACCACATACAGGTACACAGGTCCGGAGGTGGGTGCCGGGATGCAATTGGGAAATAGACTTTACAGAGGTAAGACCAGGGAAGTTTGGGTACCAGTACCTACTAGTCTTTGTAGACACATTTTCAAGTGGGTAGAGGCATTCCCCACCAAGAAAGAGACCAGCCAGGTGGTGGCTAAAGTGTTGCTTGAAGAAATCATACCTCAAGGGATTCCAGAAATGCTAGAATCAGACAATGGCCCGGCTTTCATTAATAAGGTCCTACAAGGGCTGGCCTGAGCCATGGGGACTAATTGGAAGTTACACTGTGAATATAACCCACAGAGCTCAGGGCACGTAGAGAGAATGAACAGAAACATTAAGGAGACCTTATCTAAATTAGCCCTCGAGACTGGTGGAGACTGGGTGACCCTGCTTCCCTTCACCATCTTCCAGGTTCAGAACTCCCCTTACGGATTGACCCCATTTGAAATTATGTGTGGGGCTCCGCCCCCTATTGTTCAACGAGCCCTCTCCATGGACGAAAATAAGATGGCTCCAAATTACTTGGCCAGCATGCAAGCACTGTTTATAGTACAGCAGGAGATTTGGCCTCTAATACAGGCTTATTATAAAAAGAATGAGAATCTGAATCTGGAACATGGCGTTGTCCCAGGGAACTGGGTCTGGGTACGATGGCATCAAGCCAAAACCCTCGAGCCACATTGGAAAGGCCCTTATGTTGTGCTTTGCACTACCCCATCCGCCCTTAAGGTCAATGGCATCAGGCCATGGGTGCATCACTCACACGTCCAAAAGGCTATCCTCCCAAACTGGAGACGAAGAGCAACACCCTGTGGAAAGCGCAGCAACACCCCAGCAACCCGCTCAAACTCAAAGTGTTGAGAAACGCCGAGGCGCACCAATGAGCCACAGACAACTCATGCGTCCCTCAGACTCATCCTTGTAGTCCGTGCAGCCCTGTAAGACTACTGCTGACAGTTTTCATCAGCCTTATAACATCACCTAGAAACTGAGAAACGGCCACCCCATGAGGTTCTAAACTTGACCTCTGCCTTACAACCTCCCCATTTGTGGTGGCCGGACTTATACTTTAGTCTAAGGGACTTAACTATAAAGAAATGGTCCCCAGACTATGTATGCTGTGCAGGTTTCTATGCATGTCCTTGATATGCCTGAGAAACTTATAGTACATGCGGGGGAATGTCTGACTCTTACTGTGAGAGTTGGAGCTGTGTGACCACCACCGATGGAATCCAGAAAAGGACTGTCACTAAGTCTGATTTAATCCAACTCCTTTTGTCCACCCAATGAAACCAGAACCTCAGTCATCCTTCTTCCCTTCCAAAACTGGAAATTCTTGTGGCAGGTCCCAGTGCGACTTGGTAAAAGTTAAAATCAGTGAGAATGAAAAAAGAGATAGGAGGTGGATATCTGGACTAACTTGGGGTATTGTGTAATATCAAGCTTACACCAAAAACTTCAGTTGAATTCTCCTCATATCCAAGACAATAGAACCCATCACTCCCACAAGAGCGATGGGCCCTAACCAAGTCTTAAATCCAGAAACCAAAAGATACAGCACAACCCCTCTCCTTCTCAGACCACCATCCCTCCTTTATGGTTCATGGTTACAGGGAGGGGCAGCCCAAAGCCTATCAGACCATGGTCCCGATAGAGAGGAGGTAGCCCAAAGTCCCCTCTGTCCTACCTGGGGCCAAAGTAAGGACCATCCTCTCTGGAAGATGAGCTGTGCTTTGTGTAACACCCTAAGTGCCACTAGTCTGACCTTACTCAGGGGTGTTGGTTGTGCTAATGTGTATATCCCCCATTTTATGAGGCTATTGGGTTTAACTCTACCTGGAACCAATCAGCAGTAGCCCCAACTAACTGGGTTGACAAGAGGCCCCCCTAACTATGACACAAGTAAGTGGACAAGGATCCTGCATTGGGAATGTCCCAAAGGACAGGCAAGGGCTTTGTTCTTCATTAATAAAACTCACTGGCTCGGCTAACCTAGTTGGTTATCTCCTAATTCTGGGAGTTGGTGGCTTTGCTCTTGCACTGGATTAACCCCCCACCTCAACCCGCCCCCATATCTCAACTGCTGTTTTTAATGCAACCATTGAATTTTGTGTAACTGTGACTGTTCTCCCCACATTCTGTATCATAAAAAGGATGATGTGTTCGAACATTGGGACCCTGACTTCATCCTAAGGTACAAGAGGGAGCCCATAACCGCCTTGACTGTGGCCACTTTGTTCGGCCTGGGACTTGCAGGAGCTGGAACAGGTATTGCATCCTTAGTCACTCAATCCAGGGGACTCAGCTCCTTATGAGCAGCACTTAACGAAGACCTGGAATGAATAGAACGGTCCATCAGCCACTTAGAAAAGTCCCTCACTTCGTTATGTGAGGTGGTCCTACAGAACCGTAGAAGATTGGACCTGTTGTTCCTAAAGCAAGGTGGTCTTTGCGCCACCCTAGGTGAGGAGTGCTGCTTCTATGCAGACCACACCGGGGTATAGAGGCTCTATGACCAAGCTCTGAGAAGGGCTGACGGAAAGGAAAAAGGAGCGGGAATCCCAGAAAGGATGGCTTGAATTGTGGTTCAGTCACACCACATGGCTAACCACACTATTGTTCGCTTTGGCAGGGCCCGAAATTATCCTGCTCCTATTAATCTCTGTTAGGCCCTATATCCTAAATAGACTAATACGATTTGTAAAAGACCGCATCAGTACAAGCCAGTTGCTGGTCCTTAGACAGCAGTACTAACCACTGCCTGGCACTGAGGAAGATTCCTCAGTATAAAACAGAAAAGGGGGGAGTATTAGGGAATGTTAGGCAGTGTTAGGCCCCTTTGTGTCAAGAAACTGCTACTTTACTAAGTCAGGAAAATTCCACCTTAGTGATAAACATGATTTTTCTGTGGCTTGTGACCAGTGTCACAAGCCATATCTATAGAATACACCCAGGTGCTGGTGGATGGTGGCATGATCACCGGTTCCAGCAACAGGATGAGCTACTGATACCCAGAGCCCATAAAAGTGATGTGTTTGAAGTATGTTACTCTTTAAGCTGATTAGATGTTGTGTCTGAAGTTTGTTATTCTTTAAGCTGATTGCTGTGTCTGGATTTGTGTGAGCTATGATGCTTGTAATGGCTGAAAGGGCCTAAATAATCAGTGGCTTTTCTCTGGTTCAGGGTCTGGCCCCTCCTAGGCTGGCCTGCATGCTCCAAGAATGGTCGGACCGCAGCATGCTGGAACAGTAAACTTTGCTTTCTTTACTAGTAACTTTGCTTTGCTTGCATTACCAGTAAGGCTCTTGGTCGTTCCTGGGGAATTGACAAAACCAGACCCTAACACTGGAAATGTGATGTATCACAGACTCTGGATAAACACAAATGCAGGATCTTGTTTACTGCTCACATATGTTGCTTCCAGAAGAAACACACAAATAGGCTGCTTTTTAATTATTCACCAATTTATGTCCTTTTTTTTTTTTAAATACAGAAAGAAATATAGAGGACAGAAGGATCTCCCTCCTGCTAGTTCAGTCCCCAAATGTCTGCAACAGCTGGGAGTGGGCCAAGCTGAAACCAGGATGGAGACTCTGCATGTCTCTTATGTGGGCGTCCGGGATCCAGGAACTTGAGCCATTACCTTGTGCATTTTTCTGCATCAGCAGCAAGCTGGGGTCAGGAGCTAGAGCTGAGTGTAGTGCCTGGGATACTCAGAACTTAACCAAAGTCCTAGCCGTGAGGCTCAAAGCTCTATCATATTTAAATTTGTACTAAATATGTTTATCAACAAGGCATGAAACTGTAAAGAGTGAAAAAAAAAATTGATTGGGGACCAGCATGGTGGCCTAGCAGCTAAAGTCCTTACCTTGAATGTTCTGGGATCCCATATGGTCGCTGGTTCTAATCCCACCTGCCCCACTTCCCATCCAGCTCCTTGCTTGTGGCCTGGGAAAGCAGTCGAGGACGGCCCTAAGTCTTGGGACTCTGTACCCGCGTGGGAGACCTAGAAGAGCTCCTGTCTCCTGGCTTTGAATCGGCTCAGCTCCAGCCGTTGCGGCCACTTGGGGAGTGAATCATAGAACGGAAGATCTTCCTCTCTGTCTCTCCTCTGTATATCAGCCTTTCCAATAAAAATAAATAAATTTTTAATAAAATTTTTAATAAAATTTTTTTTTATTTGGGTGCCATCACTGCAGATGGGATCTTAGCCTGAAACACCACAGTACAATTGTTCATGTGTTTGTTATGTGTGACTGGCGTGAGGCTCGGTGCTCAGTACGTGGAGCTGAATAGGATCCCTATCATAAAGGAGTTGAGGGCTTCAAGGGGGCAGACAATGAAAGCGTCCACGATGAGCACAAAGGACAGGATGCCTGCCTGATCTCACCTTGACACCCAGAAACATGCTGGTGTGGAGGAGGCCAGGCTGCACATATGCGTTGTCGTGTTTGTATGCCTCTAGTTTGCCTTTTTCTGATGCAACTTTCCCTTCCCGATGTTTTAGGTTCCTCAGCGGAAGACCCGGCAGCTCCATCTCCCTTCTCATGCCCAACACCTGATCAGAACTGTCCTGCATCCAACAGGGTCTCTCGGTTTGCTCAGTGTAAGTATTTGGTCCACTTAAAAACGTGAGGGTGGGCATGCTGCATCCATCACTCACTCCTTGACTTCCTGTACCCCACCTGGGCAGCTGCCAACAGTGGCAGAGTGGGTTCACGTGCCCAAGCCTGGGAGTGATCAGAGCCTAGGCCACCTTAGGACGTGTATCCAGGGTTATCTGTTACAGCCACTGGCCTGTTTCCATGGCTGTTTGCATCCTCTTGCTGCTGGAAGTGGATCCTGGAGCCAGAACCAAACTGCTTGAGCTATAATTTGCAGCAGCTCTCCATGTTAGCTGTGTGGCATTGAACATGTCCATTAACTAAGTTCCTTCATCTGTAATGTGGACATGAGGAAAGCACTTCTCCTGTGGGTTGCCATGAGGGTTAAAATGAATTCAAGTGGGCAGAAAGCAGCTGGGGTATGGTGCTACAGAGGAAGTACTATCGGGGCATTAGCATAGTGCTATCAGGGTGTTAGTAATTGTATGCTTAGGAACCTGCGTGAACCTACAAAATGTGTAGGATTGGAGTCTCAGTCAGGAAACTGAAGCTCAGCTGTCAAGGTATCAATAGCCATAGTCATCCATCACCATGTTACAGGTGGCAGGAGTTATCACAGGAGAGCGTGGAAAACACAAGGTGTGTTAAGAACAGCAGGAGATGGTGGGATTCAGCAAGTGCTTCATGGAAAATGGCTAATGAGCAGGCGGAAAGGGGAAGCGGGAAAGGGTGTCGTTGATATCACATTAAGTGGGGGCTCATATAGAAATTTCAACATGAAACCATCCCATGGCACGAGGCTCCCTTTTGCTGTTGGGGGACTGGTGAACGTGGATGACCCAGAGGTGACCGGCCATGTCACTGCTCTCTTCCTCCCAGGGGCCATCAGCCCAACCTTTGATCTGCGGAGCGCCTCCCTGTATCTGCAGGTATCTGAGGACCAGCGGACAGTGACTGTGTCTCGCCACCCACTCTCTTATTCCTGGAGTTGTGAGAGGTTTTCTGTCAGTCAGATCTTTTGCTCCCAGGCCCTGTCCTTGGGGCGACAGTACTGGGAGGTGGACACAAACTCCTGTAGCCACTGGGCCGTTGGGGTGGCTTCTTGGGAGATGAACCGTGGCCAGATCCTGGGAAGGACCAAGGACTCATGGTGTCTAGAGTGGAAGGGGACTGGCCAGCTGGCCGTGTGGAGCATGAACAAGGAGACGCTCCTGGGCTCAGACAGGCCTGGAGTGGTGGGCATCTGGCTAGACCTTGACGAGAGGAAGCTTGCCTTCTATGCAGTGGCCAGTGAGGAGAGGCTCATGTATGAATGTGAGGTCCCCGGGTCCTGCCCTCTGTACCCTGCCTTCTGGCTGTATGGCCTACAGATGGGAAATTCCCTTACCATAAAATAAGGGAAGCTATAACAGTTCCTTGGTGCTCCAAACACAGTGGTTTCCTGGTCTTATTGCCTCTAAGCATGGTGGCAACTTAAAAATCTCACTTTCTGGGTGATCGTTGTGATGTGCGGAAGTAAGCCACCCCTGGGAATACATGCGTATACTCTGTGTTGGAGTGCCTAAGTTTAAATCTTATCTCTGCTTCCAATTCAATTTCCTATTGATGCAGACCCTGGGAGCAGCAAGAGATGACTTAAGTCCTTGTCCCTGCCAGCCAGGTGGAGACCTGCATGGAGTTTCTGACTCCTGGCTTCACTCCAGCCGATAGCCTTGGCTGTTAATGGGTAATTGGGGAATGACCCAGAGGCCAAAAAAATCTCTCCTTTCTCTTCTGTATGTGGAAATAAATAAACTTAAAAAAAAAAAAGCCTACTTTGGTGGCAGGTACTTGGCAGAGTTGTTAACACAGTGCTTGGATGAGCCATTCAGAGTGCCTGGTTCAAGTCCCTGCTCCACCTCTGATCCGACTGCCTGCTAGTGCACACCCTGGGAAGCAGCAGGGGAGGCTTTCCGGTGGCCCTGCCACCCACATGGGAGACCTGGATTGGGGTCTGGGCCACTGACTTCTGGGTGGTCCTGCCCTGGCTGTTGTAGGAATTTGGAGAGGGAACTGGTAGATGGAAGGTCTGTTTTTTCTTTGTCTCTCAAATAGAATGAAAGAGAGAGAGAGAGAAAAGAAAAAAGAAATCCCTCCTCTTCTTTTTTCATTACAATTCATCCATCAAAAGACCTCAGGCTGCATTAACATCATCCCATGTTGAAGATGGAGCAGCTCAATTCTATGGGACTGGAGAGACCAGGAAACCTTGTCCCACCGACCAGCCAGGCATGCCTGGACAGCATATTTCATCTCCTTTTCTCTTTCTGTCTCTGCATTTTCCTCCCAGGAAATGTAGGTTGCTCTGCCTTCTTTGCCCTTCCTTACCCTCCTCCCAAGGCAGCTGAAAGAATTAGATAAACAGTTGAGGCACTGGGAAGATGGCAAGGGTGATGGTAGCACCCCAGCCCCAGATAGCTTGAGATTCACACCTCATTGTTTCGTGTGTCCTCAAAAATAGGGCTTGGCAGCAGTCTTCTGCATGGGCTGCCAGCTGACCTGGGGCCTCACCCTGCACACTGGGCTTCACAGTTATCCTGGCATGTCTAGAAGCGAAAACCCAGATAGACATCCTGGTGCTGACAGTGCTGGGACCATGCCCAGCTTTCCAACTCCTGAGTTACTAACATTATCCTCTAACACTGTGTCTTGTGGAGCCCAGGAACTGACATTCTGCTTGGATGGAACATAGTAAAATCCACAGTCAGGAGGTGCTCTGTTTCTTGCTTGGTGGTGGTTGTCTGAGGTTAGCCTAAGGTGCCTTGGGTGAGCAGGTGCCAGAAAGGCTTTCTGCCCTCACCAGGAGCATTGTGGCACATGTACCACCTGGAGCCGTCTTGGTCATCATAATGTTGACATTTCCTGCCAAAAACCAGAAGCTGGAGTCCATGGTCTCAGCCTCTTGGTGTCCTTTGCTCAAAGGCCATCCTCTTGGGCAGTTGGGACAGTGGGACCTTTGTGAGCGAGGACAGGGCTGCCCTGCCGGCCCCATGGTTTCTTCCACACAGGAGGAAAGAAAGGTTGGGAGGTTATCTCCTTGAACCCCTATCCTGGTTCCCCATTTCCTGTAGACATAGCCTCATCAGTTGCCTGTCAGCATGCTATGTGTCACTCAGAACACAGAGGCTTCCAGAGAATGAGGAAGCCACACGCCGGAGGATGGGGGACTTCTCACCTGGTTCTGCGACACACAGCTGAGGAAATCATCCACCCACAAACCAAGAAAGACATCCTGGGAACTGAACTACCGAAAAACAGACCAGACAGTTTCTAAACCACAGGGCCCCATGGCCCCGGTTGTAAGGTCACAGTGCCGGCAGATCTGATATCGACAGGGAGAGCTCCCCGGATCTTTCTTTTCTTCTCCTTCTTCTTTTTTTAAGATGTATTTGTGTATTTGTTTTTATTTGAAAGGCAAACCATTTACAGAGAGAGAAAAATCTTCCATTTGCTGATCCACTCCACAAATGGCTGCCATGGCTGGAGCTGAGTCTGAAGCCAGAAGCCAGGGGTTTCTTGTAGGTTTCCAACATATGGGTGCAGGGTTCCCAAGCATCTGGTTCATCTTTTGCTGCTTTCCCAGGTGCATCAACGTGGAACTGGTTAGGAAGTGGAGCAGCTGGGACTCAAACTGACACCTATATGGGATGCTGGCACAACCAATGGACATTTAGCCTACTATGTTACAACTCCAGCTCCTCCCTGTATCTTTCTTACAAGGGCACTAGCAGCACTGTGAGGGCTGTGCTTTTAGCACCCAGCTAAAGCCCTAGGCCCTCCATCATACTGAGGTTAGGATTTCAGGATATGAATCTGGGGATGGGGCACAGGGGCTTCCTAGGGAGAGCCACAGAGACTCCTCAAACAGCTTCTTGTGCCTGGGGATGTTTCTGTCCAACACCTGTGGTTTCCCTCAGGCTATTTTTTCCCCCCTGAGGACTGGGGGAAATGGAATATCCTGATCTGGGACATGGTCCTGCCTCTGTCTGTTCCTCTCCCCCACCCCGTCCCACTCTCACTCCTGGTGAGACAACTTCTGGAAAGCACTTCTGTACCCTTTTATTGGGACCCAGGGCTTGGGGTTCCCAGAAGAACCACCTGCTCAGTGAGGATCCAGGTGCCTACACTGACAGTTCTGTCCACGTGCCTTTGAAGCTCCTTGGAAACCATCGCTGATTAGAAGACTTCATTTCCTAGCTGATTTCAGAAACAAACTTTGAAATCCAACATTGCTGCTCCCTGGGGAGATCTCTGAAGTCAAGGAGAAACCCTTTTCCCAGGAGCATCAGGGCCTTGTGCCAGAGCAAGGGACTCTTCTTAACTTAGGTTGCTTAACTCTTTTTCACTTAGGTAGCTGCAAACGGGAACCATGGTTTTTAGAGAGCAGGATGTCGTAAACTTATGCTTCAAGGGGCAGCAAGCAGTGTCATGAGCTCACTGCAGTCCTCTCATAAGAGTGAACCTGGTTGTCTTAGGTGTGCTGTGTGTCTTTTAAAAAGAGATGATTAGATATTAAAGATTTCCCCTTAACACAGGATCAGATGATAGTAGAAAGGGGGTGGGGGCAGGGATTTCTGGGCACAGCAGTCACTGTTTCTCAGCATCCACTAGGATGCCTTGCTCCGCCTCTGCTGCCGCCTGCAGTCCCTAGCTTGCTGGAGCAGTGTGGTGCCTGCAGCCCCTCCTTCCCCCAGTGACACCTGACTTGCTGTCTTGTGCGCCTTTCCTCTGGAGTGTTGTACAGCGGCGCCAACTCACTGACCCCTCTGTCTCTATTCTCTCCTTGTCAGATTGTGTCACCTTTAAGAAGGTACTTCACCAAGTCTGTGGAGAAAAGGGAATTCAAAGACAAATTGGTGTTGGGACCAGACACTTTGAAATCCATGCAGTTGGTCCCAGTGCGATAGTGTAGTGGTTAAAGTCCTTTCCTGCAACACGCCAGGATCCCATATGGGCACCGGTTCTAGTCTCAGCAGCTCCACTTCCCATCCAGCTCCCTGCCTGTGGCCTGGGAAGGCAGTTGAGGATGGCCCAAGCCCTTGGGATCCTGCACCCATGTGGGAGACCTGGAAGAAGCTCCTGGATCGTGGCTTCGGATTGGCTCAGCTCCAGCCGTTGTGATCACTTGGGGAGTGAATCATCGGACAGAAGACCTTCCTCTCTGTGTCTCCTCCTCTCTGTATATCTGACTTTGTAATAAGAATAAATAAATCTTAAAAAAAAGAAAGAAACCCATGCAGTTTTCTTCCCAACACATGTCTCCTGTGCACTGTTGGAAGAGCCTAAAGATTGTGCCCAACCACCCAAGGTGAGGGCAGAGCCCCTTTAGGCTGCCCGCACTTTGGAGGCCTCTCCCAAGCCCCGGCCTCAGATGGCTTTTCCTCTGGGCTGACCATTTGGCTAAAAACCAGGGCCCCACAGACCCTGCCTTGGATCCACTGGCTTTGCTTAAACAGCTCCCCAAACTTGGGGAAACTTACCAAGGATGCGGATAAAGGTATGTGAGCTGCACAGAGTGTGGGAAGAGGTGTGTGGAGTATCTGTGCCTTCTCTGGACTCCCCATCCACCAGAAACCCCACGTGTTCACCTGCCCAGCTGCTCCGAGAGCCTGTGTACCGAGCTCTCACGGCCCGTTGCTGACTGACTCCACCTGCAGCCCCTGTTTCTTCCCTGGAGGTGGAGGCGTGGACCAGGCAGTCCCTATCCTGAAACCATTAAGGCAAGTCGTCAGCAAACTGAAGACACTGGTCTCACTCGAGAAGCCCCTCAGAGTGACCATCAGAGTGTCCGCAAAAGGACAGACCAGATGCGTATTTCGCAGCATCATCGTCTATCTGATATGTGATACACACGTAGCCCTCAGGCTCTGCAGGATCTGAGTCTCCATTGTGTACCACTCACGGATCAAAAAGAGCTGTAGAAAATCCCACATGTGCTGAACACAGTCTTTTCTTGATTTTTGTGTTGTCATTGCCCCTAAGCAGTACAGCACAACAGCTACTTACATTGTATTTACACTGTGGTCGGGATTGTAAGTGATATATTTTAAAAGTATGAGAGGATGTGCTTAGTTTATGTGCAACTACCTCAACACTTTATATAAGAAATTTGAGTATCCTCTGATTCTGGTATTTAAGGGAAGTATTAGAACCACTACTCCGTCATACTAAAGAATGTCTGTGTATATAGTATTTACAAATATGGATGTGCAATTCCACATTTTTTTCTCCAAAATAAATATATCTTTTAATTCACATTTTCTGTAAACTGTAAAAAAAAAGCCTTCATATTTCTCCTTTTGGGTTCTTTTCTTGGGATATATTTAATTCAGGTGATTTCTTGGCAGATGTAAACAGAAGTGATGAAGCTTTTTTGTTTTGTAGAAATTAAATGTGGTCTATAATTTCTTGAGAATTACTGCTTTATTTTTATTATTTGCTTGAAAGGGAAATAGAGATATAGAAGGAGAGAGGGAAGAATTAAGAGATCTTCCACGGCCCGGTACGGTGGCCTCGCCTTGAATGCACTGGGACCCCATATGGGCGCTGGTTCTAATCCCAGCAGCTCCACTTCCTATCTAGCTCCCTGCTTGTTGCCTGGGAGAGCAGTCAAGGACGGCCCAAAGCCTTGGGACCCTGCACCCATATGGGATACCTGGAAGAAGCTCCTGGCTCTTGGCTTTGGATAGGCTTAGCACTTGGGGAGTGAAT